GATATTCCCTCGGGTTTGGGCTTGGGCCTGATCAATCCGTGTCTCAGATTTGAGGAGTGTCACATATAGTACCCAACCGTTGAGCTTCACATACACATTTCCGATGAGCTTCAGAATAGACCCAACCGAAGGTGAACTCTCTGATAGCGACACACAATCTACTGTCGTGTCGGAGCTCGAGTATTCCTCACCGCCGATCGATTATGCATACACCTCTCACCAACTTCTCTGTTACAAACCCATCCAACTTCATTCACGTAATCTCATATAACACGTACTCATTGGTGCCAATGAACTAGTTGGATCGTTCACGACTCCGGCGAATCCAACTCTGGCGACACTTTCTTTTTTCCTTATCTGATTCCATTCGTCTTTCTCGGATCCAGTATTGTTCACCATTTCTTGTTTTTTCCCCTCTTCAATTCCACTTTACTCTTCATTTCTTATAAGTAGATTTATTGATTCTCTTTTTTCTTCCTCTTAGGTTTCTACAGTCTAAAAATAGGTCTGTCTTATTTGATTTGGGGGATTGAATGAGATATTAGGGAGATAAGAGTGATTTAGGGGATGTTAGAGAGAGAGAAAGAGAGAGATGAGCGAGAAATAGAGGAAAGCTGCCACCTAGATCGCCACGTAGATTCTGCCAAACAAATCAATTAGATACTTCGGTGCAAGAATCATTTTCCTTTATATATATATTTAATTTATGAAATAATAAAAATGTGTTTGAACTATAAATAACATTATAGATGCATAATATTGATATTAATTAAAATACAAAACTTATAGTATATTTTTTATTTTTAAAGAAATGTGACCTCAGAAGTATATATATTTAATCTAAATTCTTAGCAACATATTATTTAAATTTTATTACATGAAATGAATACTTTACAAAATTATTAAATAATAAATGTCTTAACTAAAAATGAAGTAAAACTAAAAAGTATTTATATAATATGTTTGCAAATATATATGTGTTTATACATTGTACGTGCACATTTTTTTTACATAAGGAAACAAAAATATTACAGTAATATAAAGCGAATGACAATATGAAAAGGATTTGTTAAATTTTTTTTTTCGTATTGTAGGTTTATTATTACTTTTACACATTTCTAACCATTTTTTATTCAGTATTAGGTATATTTTGATAATTAATTTTAATAATAAATGTCAAGTGTAGTTGTTCATAATTTAATTAATGAGAAAAATATTTTGAATTCGATGATTTACAAATTAAATTCGTGAATTGGTAAAATTTAATTTGTAAATTATAAAAGAATTTACTCTCATAACACCAATTCATACGTAGAACATGAAAGCGACACCTCATTAAAAATATAATATAATTTGATATTTAACTATCATTAATACATAGTATGCTTAATGGAATAAATTATTGAATATTTTTGTCAAAAAAAAAAAAAAAAACATTTGATTTGCTTAGTTATTTCATAATAATTATGAAGTAGTAAGGACGATAAAAAAGTAAGTTGTAGTGTCATTTCTTTTAGAAGAAAAATCACATAACCCCCTTATACTATCATTTTCGTTCAAAAAACCCCATAAAAATTAAACACCCTTGAACTATAAAAGGTCATCACATTGCCCAATTTCCGTTTAAATCCGTTAAGTTTGTATGAAATGACAAATATACCCCTATAATATAATCTGAAATTTAAATACGAAATAATTGTTATCTTGCGGCCTGAAGTGGCTGTGGATTCACCATCATCGTCGTCAGTCAAAACATCAAAACCGAAAACTCCAATTACCAAAACCGTAATTCCCCTAACCCCAAGTTTGACACTGTAACGACCTAAAAGATACCAAAATAATAATAATGATAATAATAATAATAATAAAATATGTAAAATTTTGGCATGACCTCCGCAGAAAAAGTCCTACTACAACCTGTTGAAATACATAAAAATGCAATGGCCTCACTGGGATTTAAAACTAATTTATCATTTCCCAACGCACAATGCAAATAATATACCACATTCCTAAAATGATTACATACATATAAAAAGTCTCGTTCCTCCATCTCATCCAAACAGTGAACACACTTTAGTTACATCAAGTTACAGTCCATAAAATATAGCTAAAATTTAAAAGTTCATAACTTACAACATTATACTAATTAAACTAAAGTTTCACAAAATATTTAAGATTACATTTGTTTCTATAACATCCACTACTACAACATTATACAAGTTATACTTGGTCATTACAAGAGAATATGGTTCATGTTTCTCCACAAAAGACCACAAATGATAATCCCGATCCAATCTAGATTTGTGGTGGATTGTCGTTCGCCACTTCTTTTTCCAAACCTGAAAAATGTTAAGATAATGGGGTGAGCATAAGCTCAGTAAGAAGTGTGTAAGACACACTTTTTTTGACTCTGTGAATTCATGCAAAGAATAGGTAAAAAGTAGGCAAGATCATACCATAGGGAATGCACATCAGTAATCACAACAACAAGTATATAAATAAATGTCATCCAATCACAAATACATCAAATATGCTAATGAAATGCAATGTCATGCCAATGTTGCTCCCCATTTTCCAAAACAATTTCTTTTTGCTGTTCCAAACCGTTAATGCAATCCGGCCCATAACACCTCTATGGCGCCACGAGGAAAGGGTTGGCTAGCTTTTCTCGACCACGTGGCACCTCCATGGCGTCGTTTAGACCTAGGTAGCTCAACCACACTAGAGTCTCTCTCTAGCTCCCTCTAGACCACACTAACAACACGGACCACTAGGCGCCTCCTAAGCGTCCGGTTTTCACAAACACCTTTCAAAATCATTTCCCCAAAATAGTTTCATTTGCTTTCAAAATATTTTTCCCCTTTTTCTTTCCCAATGGATGTATGAATGCTTCATGCTTTTAAATGCCAATTCAATACTAAAATTTCAACACATTCCATCTACATCATCATGACATTCTTGATAGGAAGCTCTAGACATTTATTTCCATAATTATAACATAAATTTTCATAGCAATTAAAATTATAAAACAAACCAACACTAAGCATATTTCTTTACAAATTGAAAATTATCATACTAATAAGCCCAATTAACACGTTACACACATTTATCACCATAAATACAAATAACCCTAAGAAACACAACCAAAAGGAATTAAAATTAAGCATGCTTAAAGTCAAATTAAAGGGGATAATTCACAAGAAATCCAAGAAATAGTGGATTAGAGCACCCATACCTCAAATTGAAGAAAAGTCCCAAAATTCCCAATTTCAAGCCCTAAATTCGAAATCCCTAGGCTTAGCCAAATGGTGCTTGGCTCCTTTCAAATCGACGGCCTTAACGAGCTCTCCGATTTTATTTCACAAGGTTCTACCAAATTCCAATTGGTGTGAGAAAGATCAAGCCTTGAAATTTGTAGAAGAAAAAAAAAAAAAAAAAAAAGAAAACGAAGCTACTGGAAGTCTAGAAGAGAGAATCACGCAGAGAGAGAAAACTGACGGTTGTAAGGTTTAATATAATGGTGGAGCCCACTTACTTTTTGAAAAATAAATATCTTATAACTTTATAATATATATATATATATATATATATATATATATATATATATATAATCATAAACATTACATTCTCCCTAACTTTAAAAGATTTCATCCCGAAATCAAGCCATACATGAGGAAGAAAATAACTCTAGATACTTGGAGCGAATCTCCTGTTCGAGCTCCCAAGTAGCCTCCTCAACTCCGTGATGCCTTTAAAGAACCTTTACCAACGGTATCGTCTTGTTCCTTAACACCTTCTGCCGCGTGTCAAGGATCTAAACTGGTTACCTTCTTGTAGGAAACATCCTCATCAATGTCAACCTCAACCCAACTCAAAACATGAGATGGATCCGATTTGTACTTCCGTCACATCGATACATAGAAAACATTATGGACCATGTCCATCTGTGGTGGCAATACTAGTCTGTAAGCAACATCTCTTACACGGTCTAAGATCTCAAAAGGTCCAATAAATGACAACTTGCCACTTTTCCCGAACCTTATCGACCCCTTCAATGGAGAAACACGAAAAAAAACATGGTCACCCACCTCAAAGGATAGCGATCATCTTCGCTTGTCTGCATAACTCTTCTATCGACTCTGAGCTGTAAGCAATCTCTGCCTGATCAATTTAATTTTATCTGTAGTCTCGAGTACAATGTCGGGTCCTAAGGCAGCTGTCTCACCCACCTCAGTCCAACAAACAGGAGACCTACAAGGTCTACCATACAACCCTCAAATGGAGCTATTTGAATACTCGCCTGATAACTATTGTTATAGGCAAACTCAATAAGTGGAAGGTGATCCTCCCAACTACCTCCCAAATCAAGAATACAGGCCCCGAAGCATATCCTCCAAGATCTGGATGGTACGCTCCGACTGGCCGTCCGTCTGTGGATGGAATGCCTTATTGAAATGCAACGGTGAGCCAAACGGTGTGTAAAGTCCTTCCCAGAACTTCGAGGTAAAATGGACATCCCTATTCGACACAATAGATATTGGAACTCCGTGCAAACTCACAATTTCCTTCACATACAGTACACCAAGTGCTTCTGCGTCATCTGTTACCTTAATAGGCAAAAAGTGAGCCGTCTTGGTTAATCTATCAATAATGACCCATACGGCCTTATTTCCCCTCCGTGACTTAGGAAAACCTGTCACAAAATTCATGGCAATCTGCTCCCATTTCCACTGCGCTACCGGCAATGGCTGCAATAAACCAGCTGGTCTCTGGTACTCGGCCTTCACCCGCTGACAGGTAAGGCATTTAGCTACAAACTGTGCAACGTCCTTCTTCATCCCACTCCACCAATACTGACCTCTCAAATTATGATACATTTTGGTACCACCTGAATGAACTGTAAAGCGGGAAGTGTGAAATTCCCGTAAGACGTCCTCGCGACAAACTGTGGGGACAACCAACAAACCCTGAAACTATAGACCTCCATTTGCATGTAAGGTCTAATCATTCACTGTCTCACCACCAGAAATCAGAGTGTGAATAACATCCAAATTCGGATCTTGTCTCTGTAACTCAATCACTCGTCCGCCAAGAGTGGGCTGAGCCACAAGACTAAACAAGAATACTAACTCACTGCCAACATCATCATCAAAACAATACAATCCCATCTTTGCAAAATCTTCAAACATCTTCCATTTTCTAATGGCTAACCTGGCCAAAGTCCCACGAGATTTTCGGCTTAAAGCATCAGCTACCACATTTACCTTACCAGGATGATACTGCGAATCAAAATTGTATTCTTTTAAGAACTCAACCCATCGCTTCTGCCTGTTGTTCAAGTCCTTTTGGGAAAAAATGTACTTAAGACTCTTGTGGTCCGAGAACACCTCAAATCTCTCACCATATAACTAGTGTCTCCAATACTTCAAAGTAAACACGGCTGCCGCTAACTCAAGTCATGAGTAGGGTAGTTAAGCTCGTAAGTCTTCAACTGTTGAGACCCATAAGTCACTACTCTACCATCCTGCATCAGTACACAACCCAAACCGTCACATGAGGCGTCACAATAGATCACATATCCCAAGCCACGCTCGCGTATCACCAACACTGGAGCCGTAGTTAACCTTGTTTTCAACTCTTAAAAAGATGACTCACATGCCTCATTCCATGCAAACTTGATCCCTTTCCGAGTCAATCTGGTCATAGGAGTTGCCAAACGAGAAAAATCATTCACAAATCTGCGATAATATCCCGCTAGACCAAGGAAACTCCAGATCTCAAAAACATTCTTGGGTTGTTCCCAATTCAAAACTACTTTAATCTTTGATGGATCAACTGACACTCCACCTTCCGAGACGACATGTCCCAAAAATTTCACCTCATGTAGCCAAAACTCACACTTCTCATATTTGGCTTACAAACGGTGCTCCCGTAAAATCTGTAACACTATACTCAAATAGACCTCGTGCTCCTCTCGAGTCCGTGAATACACAAGTATGTCATTCACGAAAACTACCACAAACTGGTCCAAGTAATCGTGAAAGACACGGTTCATTAGGTCCATGAATGCCGCCAGCGCATTAGTTAAACCAAAAGGCATGACAAGAAACACATATTGTCCATACCGCGTTCGGAAAGCGGTCTTTGGAATATCCTCCTCTCTACCCGTAATTAATAATAGCCAGACCTCAAGTCAATCTTCGAAAAACCACTGGCTCCCCTCAACTGATCAAACAAATCATCTATTCTTGGCAAATGATACTTGTTCTTGATGGTGATATGATTCAACTTTTGGTAATCAATACACAACCTCAAAAAACTATTCTTCTTCTTAGCGAACAAGACTGGTGCGTTCCACGGTGACACACTCGGTCGGATAAAGCCTTTCACTATCAAATCATCAAGTTATTTCTTCAATTCTTCTAATTTAATCGATGCCATACGATACGGTGCCATAAAGATTAGCGCGGTACCAAGCATCAAATTAATAGCAAACTCCACCTCTCGGTATGGAGGCAACTCAGTCAAGTCCTCCGGAAACACATCCAGAAAATTGCGCGCACAACCACTGGATAATCAACCCCACAAAACTCAACATCATCATTGGTGAAAAGGCTAGCCAAAAAGAACCATTGTCGATCTCGACCTCTAACACTATAAAATGAATGAATGGGAGAATCACACCGATCCCCCACAAAACAGAAACAATCCCCATCCGGAGTACACACTGACACTCTACCCCTGAAATAATCAATAACAGCTCTGAAGGATAATAACCAGTCCATCCCAAGAATGATGTCAAACCCTGTCATCTCGAGAAGAATGAGATCGAACTCCGGTACCTGTCCGGTAATGATAATGGAACAACCCCGACAAACTCTACCAAGAGTGACTGAACCCCCAATAGGCGTATCAACACAAAGCGGTCTGTCTAACTGACTGACCTCCAATCCCAATGCCCGTGCAAATGATGAAGCAATGAATGAATAGGAAACACCAGAATCAAACAATACATGAGCCTAAGAATGGGATACAAGAAACATACCCCTAACAACTGAAGGACTAGATAATGGCTCAACTGGAGTAAGTGCAAACACACGACCCTGAGTCCTCTGCCCCTGAGAACCATCTTTGATAACCTGACTGCTGAGTGGGTGCACTCAAAGAAGTCCCTCTGCCCGGTCGAGAACTCTGGGCTGTCATAGTTGGCTGAGATGGCTGAGGTGGTGGTGGCGGTCAAAACCCTGACTGAACTATGGTAGACTGCATCAGCCTTTGCTGTGGACCTCCACCCCTGCCTAAACCGCTACCCCGCTAAAGACAATCCCTTACCCTATGGCCCTGCTGGCCACATCCAAAACATCCACCTAACGCTGCTTGAATTTGAGTGCATTGGGTCTTATGGTGCCCCAACTGCCCACATCTAAAATAAGTCACCTGAGTCTGAGTGCACTAGGACATGAAATGTCCCGGCTACCCGTATCTGAAACAAGTAACATTCGGTCTAGAAGACCCCATAGATACTGAAGTTGTGGGTGCGGATCTGGCTGCTGTCCCCTGAACCATGACTGTTCATTCTTCTGCTTCTTACTTGATTGACCCTCAGAGATAGCACTCATGCTCCTGTTATGCTTATAGGACTCCCTGATAGCTTTGCTGTCCTTACTTTTGGCCTTAACCACTAAGGCCTTTCGCACTGCTTTTGCATACTCTGTCGGATCTGAGGCAGCTATAATTGGCCTGATGGTAAGATCAAGGCCATCAACAAATTTTTCTATCTTTCCTTCCTCATCATTAGCAATCCCTAGTGCAAACCTTAAAAGCGACGTGAACTTATTCTCATACTCAGTGACAGCCATATTTTCTTGCTTCAAACCATCAAACTCTTTCTTTAGTTCTCTCCGCTTAGGTGTCGGAAAGTACTTCTTGTAGTACAACTTCTTGAATGTATCATAAGTCATTGTGTCCAGATTGTGGGTGTGAGAAATGGTCTTCCACCAAATCTTAGTATCCCCAACAAAGTTATAAATTGTTAAAGTGATCTTCAACTTGTCCGTCGCCAAATTCATGGCGTTCACATGCTTCTCCACTCTATCGATAAATCTATCCGCAACAAGCAGATCTGGACCGCCCTCAAATAGAGTTGACATCAATTTCATAACCTTTGTAATGTGGTAAAGAGTTTTATCTGACTCACTTGTCTTTGGAGGTAGTGGTAGTGGTGCCGGTGGTGGCACAACCTATGACGATGATGCCACTGCAGTCCGAAACACATCATGAAAGACCGCTTGCACTGCCAACTTAAGCTGCTCTTCACTTATCTGAAGAGGTGGATCAACGGTCCCTCTCGCTTGTCCCCTTCTTGGTGGGACCAAATCACACCACAAGATATTTTCTTCAACTTGCTCCTGATCCATTTCTATGGGATTGGAGCTAGAACTTTCCTCGGGATCCCTACGTGGTGGCATGACGCTATAAGAAAAAGGAAACGGGTCAAAAATGATGACACTAAAACACGTTCGAGAACTCCATACTCTCGGAAAAAGAAACCTAACCGATGATAAGCATGATCATGCTAATAATATACAACAACACTAAGCACTTAACACATAATCATATAAGCAGTTAAATAATTAAGCATGCCTTTCAAATAATTAAACACATTAACACATAAACATATAAACATGCAATTCAACTTCCCATGCAATCCTAGGTAGGCCTCTACCCGTCGTCCTAATGATATTCGAACCATTGCTCTGATACTAAATTTGGAACGACCCAAAAGATACCAAAATAATAATAATAATAATAATAATAATAATAATAAAATATGTAAAATTTCGGCCTGACCTCTGCAAAAAAAGTCCATCTACAACATGTTGAAATACATAAAAATGTAATGGCCTCACTGAATCTTAAAACTAATTTATCCTGTCTTAACGCACAATGCAAATAATATACCACATTTCCAAAATGATTACATACATATAAAAAGTCTCATTCCTTCATCTCATCCAAAGAAAGAACACACTTTAATTACATCAAGTTATAGTTCATAAAATATAGCTAAAATTTAAAAGTTCATAACTTACAACATTATATTAATTAAACTAAAGTTTCACAAAATAGTTAAGATTACATTTGTTTCTATAACATCCACTACTACAACATTATACAAGCTACACTTGGTCATTACAAGAGAATATGGTTCATGTTTCTACACAAAAGATCGTAAATGATAATCCCGATCCAATCTAGATTTGTGATGGATTATCGTCCGCCACTTCTTTTTCTAAACCTGAAAAATGTTAAGATAATGGGGTGAGCATAATATAACAAGGCTCATTTTGTCCCGCATCGGAATCGGATGGGAAAGAGATTGGGTATAAATGGGTGGGTATGCAGCCTTACCTAACAGTTCGAGCTTTTGGGTAAATAGGCAAGTGCCCACCCGTTACAGTTGGTATCAGAGCCAGACCCAGTTATTGATCCGGTGCCACGCCAAGTGCCCGGCCCGGAAGGCGTCCGGGTGAGTCCACCCGGGTAGGCAGGGTGGCCCAACCGCAACGAGGGCGTTGCGAGTTTGGGTAGGGGAGAATGTAACAAGGGTCATTTTGTCCCACATCAGAATCGGATAGGAAAGAGATTGGGTATAAATGGGTGGGTATGCAGCCTTACCTAACAGTTCTAGCTTTTGGGTAAATGGACAAGCGCCCACCCGTTACAATAAGCTCAGTAGGAAGTGTCTAAGTTACACTTCTTATGACCCCGTGAATCCACGTAAAGAATAGGTAAAAAGTAGGCGGGATCATACCATAGGGAATGCACATCAGTAATCATAACAACAAGTATATAAATAAATGTCATCCAATCACAAATACACCAAATATGCTAATGAAATGCAATGTCATGCCAATGTCGCTCCCCATTTTCCAAAACAATTCCCTTTTGTCGTTCCAAACCGTTAATGCAATCCGGTCCATAGCACCTCTATGGCGCCACGAGAGAAAGGTTTACTAGCTTATCCCGATCACATGGCACCTCTATGGCCTCGTTTGAGCCTAGGTAGCTCAACCACACTAGAGTCTCTCTCTAGCTCCCTCTAGACCACACTAACAACACGGACCACTAGGCGTCTCCTAGGCGTCTGGTTTTCACAAACACCTTTCAAAATCATTTCCCCAAAATAGTTTCATTTGCTTTCAAAACATTTTTCCCTTTTTTATTTTCCCAATGGATGCATAAATGCTTCATGCTTTTAAATGCCAATTCAATACTAAAATTTCCACACATTCCATCTACATCATCATGACATTCTTGATAGGAAGCTCTAGACATTTATTTCCATAATTATAATATAAATTTTCATAGCAAGTAAAATCATAAAACAAACCAACACTAAGAATGTTTCTTTACAAATTGAAAATCATTATACTAATAAGCCCAATTAACACGTAACACACATTTATCATCATAAATACAAATAACCCTAAGAAACACAATCAAAAGGAATTAAAATTAAGCATACTTAAAGTCAAATTAAAGGAAAAAATTCACAAGAAATTCAAGAAATAGTAGATTAGAACACCCCTACCTCAAATTGAAGAAAAGCCCTAAAATCCTCAATTTCAAGCCCTAAATTCGAAATCCCTAGGCTTGGCCAAATGGTGCTTGGCTCCTATCAAATCGACGACCTCAACGAGCTCTCCGACTTTGCTTCATAAGATTCTACCAAATTCCAATTGGTGTGAGAAAGATCAAGCCTTGAAATTTGTAGAAGAAAAAAAAGAAAAAGAAAACGAAGCTACTGGAAGTTTGGGAGAGATAATCACGCAGAGAGAGAAAATTGATAGTTGTGAGGTTTAATAAAATGGTGGGGCCCACTTACTTTTTGAAAAAGAAATATCTTATAACTTTAATATATATATATATATATATATATATATATATATATATATATATATATATATAATCATAAACATTTCAGACATCACCTATTCCATTGAAGCCACATAATTAAACTCACTAATTGAAGACCCTAACCCTAGGTTGAATTAAACTAAATCAAATTGAATTGAATTAACTTAAAGTTTGTGAATTCCAAAACGAAGAGAGAGAGTGTGTGACAATGAAGTGGGAGAATGAGAGAGAAAAAAATACTCTAAAATGGCAAAGATTTGCAGGGTGTGCTCTGTTTTTCCTCGAAGGGAATGGTTAATGGGGTTGGGGCAGAGGGTGATTTGGTGGGGGAAATGGCTGTGGTGTGAGGAGAGAGAGAAGAGGAGTGAGAGAGTGGGAGGAGAGAGAGAGGTGCTTTACCTGAGAAAGGATTTCACAGGATATTCAAATGCTGAGATTCCAATGCAAAGAGTCATTTCGAAGGAACTGTAGATTCATGTTTTTTTTTTTTTTTTTTTTTTTTTTTTTTTTTTTTTCCTGTCTGAATAAGATACGAACTCCAGGCGAATATGAAACTTATGGATACAAGTTATGCCTTGGAATGAAAGACAATTCTGAATCTGCTTTGTTTACGAACAAGGAAGTTATAAGTAATGTAACTATGAATCTCATGGAGAGTTCAATCCTGGCTCAGGATGAACACTGGCGACATGCTTAACACATGCAAGTTGGACGGGATGTGGTGTTTCCAATGGCGGAAGGGTGAGTTACGCGTAAAAACCTGCCCTTGGAAGGGGAACAACAGCCAAATACATACATATATGTGTGTGTGTGTGTGTTTATTTGTATCGAGAATTAAGAATTACAGGTGAATACAAATAGTGACTATATATATTCATGTGTGTGTGTATATATGTAGAGAGATTTATACCATTTTTACTGGAGAATTGAATAATGATAAAAACGTCGTCGTAATATAAAACCCCAAGGCGCCCGTTTTGCCAAAATAGGGAGGCAATTACTATGTTGAGTTATCTGTTCATTTCTATTTACCATTCCTCAGCTTTAAATATAGGCATTGGCAAATCAGTAAATTACTTGGATTCGTTGTTGATTTTAACAGGTTTTTCTGCCAGAATCTGACACAGAGATTCGAACATAGCAAATCTGCCATATTTTCTCAATTTAAGATTTATTTCATTTAGGATTTTCTCAATTTCAAGTCACATTTCTAACTAGATCTAAAATGGATCCTTGCACACACAGGCTCATATGTATATATATAAACACAGACTAAAAGGAAAGGGGGAGGTGTGGGAGTATTTTAGGTAAAAAAAATTGTGATGAGCACGTGCTTGTCATTCGCTCTAACCCGAAGGGTAGGTTAACGGATTTGAACGAAAATGAGGAAATGTGATGACCTTTTATAGTTTAGGGGGTGTTGAATTTTCATGGAATTTTTTTTGGACGAAAATGATAGTACAGGAAGGTATGTGATTTTTTTCCTTTCTTTAAACTTTATGGGATATATATATATATAACTCTATGATCCATTTTGTCCAATTTGAATCATAGACATTTTATTTTAGAAGGCCGAGTTCATATCTTCAATTACAACTTTTAACAACCTTTTTTTTTTTTTTTCTTTTCTTTTTTTCTAAACTTATAATAATAACCTTTAATAAGAAGGATTTGATCATCAAAACTTCTAATTCATAAAATGTTAGACATCAAAAGATAGTACAATTACTATTACTATTATTGTTTTAATGGATTACGAAAATGGATTTGAATCATCTACGGCAAATGTGTCTTTTTTAGTCACCGTTGACCATGGATTTGAATCATCTCCATTTGTGGTTCTTTCGAATGTAATTGATACAAAAGTACTGTATAAATTTATAATTTATTAAATTTAGTTATAAATTAATAATTTTCTAAATTTCGTACATCAATTACTACATTATACTGTATTGAATTTAACAACTTTGCAAGTACAAGTCCTCCTATATACTGTGTCCGTGTGAAACCCCAGCTCTTCATCTCTAGCAGCTTCACCAATTTACATTCATTTCTCAATCTTAACCTTCCCTCTGTTACTCTGTATCATCCTTCTTTCAACAAAGACTGTACATATATATATTACATTATTTTGTAGACGCATGAAGGGGATGGTGGAGTAGAGACAGAACGGGGGCTGGAGGGGAGAGAGGAGATCAGTTAAAGAAAGAGAGGGGCAAGAGATTTAATTCTAGGGTTAGAGTTTGGGAAACGAGAAGGCAGAGTCCAAACCTCCATAACCCGCTACCTCCTACTCTTCTCCGCCACCACCACTTCTTCAATGGAATTGATTTTCCGAAACCCCCAAAATGAAACCTTATTCAATCCTCACCACCACCATTCTATTCTCTGCTCTTCCTCCCCACTAGAAAACCGGACCTCGCCGTCGAAAGTATGGCCCTACTGGCCTTCCTCTCCGCCGTGGGCGACCAAATTTATTCAAAAGGCTAGAATTTACAAGCTGGACAAGAACAAGAATAACTGGGAAACTGGAGTCTCTGTGTTCTTCATATCTCTAAGCGTTCATCATATAGGGTATATATTGTTTACTTTACTTCGTCTAACTTTTGTCGTTTCTTTTTTCCCAAAAAAATGAAGCAAGGTTAAAACAGTCATTCAAGTCACCCAGTTATGTTGATATGGCTGGTGTTTTGTGCCTTCCTACTATTGTTTTGATTTCATCATTTGTGTTACTAAGTTAAAATGCAAGATACATTTCTAATTTCTTGGTGTTAATTTTCTTTCTTTCTTTTTACTGGAACAGTTTGGTAATGGAAATTGGTGTGAACTCATTAAATGGACTCTTACATCTACAATCACTTTCCTTGATAATTCATTTTTGGGTTTTTCCCACTTTCCAACCAGTTTCGGGGAAATTGCAGTTGTGATGGTGACTAACCGCGTGGGAGCCAAAAAAAAAAAAAAGTGATTTCTGGGAAGTCTTCTCTCCTATATTCATTTTCATTCTTGGAACATTACAATATTCATAGCAATTCAAGTTCCAAATTCTTTAAAAAATCTTTTTTTGTGGAATTCTACTCATTTTTGGGTTTTTCCTACTTTCCAACCAGTTTCGGGGAAATTGTGATGGTGACTAACGGCGTGGGACCCAACTAAAAAAAGTGATTTCTGGGAAGTCTTCTCAGTCTTCTCTCCTATATTCATTTTCATTCTAATATTCATAGCAATTCAAGTTCCAAATTCTTGACAAAATATTCTTGTGTGGAATTCTACTCTTGATCAGATGGTTTTTAAATTCTTAAAATTCCGAAGAAGTAACAAACCAACGAGAGAAAATGTTCTCTCAACTGCCCTGGAGTTAATCTTGCGCTCTGGTTCCACTGTATCATTGGAAAATGAAGAAGGAATGATCTTCAATGGCGACCGTTCAAAAACTATCCAGTATTTGCAAGCTTTGGACGAGATTTTACTGTGGACAGAGTCGATAACAAGCTCAGATGTTCAGATTTTACGGAGGACAGAGTCGAGAACAAGCTCAGATGTTCAGATCAAAGTGAACGAAGCAATCCAAATTGCAATGGCTCGGCTTGAGAAAGAGTTTGGGATCATCTTGTTCAGCCTCACCAGTTCAATGGATGCCGAATCAAGTAAGTCTTCGAAATCTTCAAGCTCCATAACTGGTGGTTCTAGTAGTAGCTTCAGTAGTACTAGTAGTAGCTTTGGCTTCTATGATTATAAGAAGTCCAATCTAACGATTAAGAATGATCTCCGGAGTATTGCTGAGAGAATGAACTCTGCTGGACATCTTCTCAAATGCACTAAGATGTACATGAGTGTAAGAGAGCCTATCCTGGAGGCGAGTCTTCAAGGACTAGGCATCCAGAATTTAAGTATCAATGCCATTCGTAGGTTGGAGTGGGAAGAGTTGGAGGAGAAGATCAGACAGTGGATGCAAGCTTATAAGATTTATGTCAAGGTTCTCTTTGCAGGAGAGAGGAGACTCTACGAGCGTATCTTTGGAGGTCTCGGAACTGCCTCAGATGATAACTGTTTTGGTGAAATGCTTAAAGACCGTACAACTCAATTATCCAAAATGGGGGAAGCCATAAGCTCCTGCCTAAGCAGTCAATCATGGAGTCCAGAGAAGTTGTTCAAAATTTTAGACCTCCACAAAGCATTGTCAACAAGTTTGCCTGCTCTTGATGTTGTTTTTCAGTTCAAATCATTAGAATGTATTAAGATTCAGGCAGCTGCGATATTGCACCAGCTTGTGGAGGCAGCAAGAAGTACTCTAATGGAATTTGAGATTAGTGTGCTTCATGAGCAGTCAAATTTTCAGGATCAAAGGGGTAGTATTGACACCTTCACGGCATCTGTTATGGATTATATTACTCAGATCTCTTCCTATATGGAAAGGCTAACTAAATTGATTGTATCAAAGCCGCCAAAGCTGGAAGAGAAGAGAAACTCCAGTGATCTGACAATTTTGGGGCGAACTCTGTTGGAGATCCATTTGATTTGGATTATTGAAGTCTTACAATTCAAATTGGATGGTAAGTCCAAGTGCTATGAGGATGACTCTTTGGCTCAATTGTTCATGATGAATAATGTTCATTACATTGTTCAGAAAATCGAACGGGAACCAAAATTGCGACAGATGATTGGGGGCAATTACCTGGAGAAAGGCAATTACCTGGAGAAACTAACGGAAAATTTTCACGTACTGATGATTGACTATATGAGATCAACATGGGTGAGGATCATTGATTGCCTGAGAGATGAAGAACTAAATGTGAATGGGAGTCTTTCTTCTGAGGCGTTAGACAGTGGACTGAAGGAGAGGTTAAAGACCTTCAGCTCTATGTTTGAAGAGGTTTTTCATACTCAAGCACCATGGGTGGTACCGAGCTTGCACCTCCGTCAGAAGCTATGTGGTTCCATATCAGAGAAGCTTATTCCAGCCTACAGCTCCTTTCTTGAGAGGTTCAAGAGTCAAATAGGGAGGGAAAATCACCAAGAGAAATGCATTAACTACTCGGTTGAGGGCCTAAAGACTGCGATCTCAAATCTCTTTGCGGGCAATGTGGAGGTTCAAATCTGATCCTTCTATCTCTTTCTTTTGCTGACTGTTACTTTTCTGAATGAGAAGAGCATTTTATTTTAAACTATCTATCATATTCTTCTACTCAAGTGACAAATAATACTTGCGATGCAGCACATCATCCAGTTCTTGCAGCTTTGTAGTAAATACTTGTCTGGAAGTTGTGTCAATAAAAATGTGATTGGGTGTGATAAATGGGCGATGCAAATAATTTGCTGCTAAGATAGATCCCAACAAACTATACTAATTGTTAAAGCCCGGAGCCAAGAAACTTATTTATAAAACTCCATCTTATTAATTAAGAGTAGTGCTTTTGATGTCTTTGGGAAGCATTAACTTCTAAATAAGGTCAACTCAGATTGGTGATTAATTGGGAATTCAATTCATGAGTGCATCATCTACTACTGTGTAACCTTCTTTATATACGTGATTGATCGACTAAAATTTGCCAAATCAAGCTTACGAATAGTATGAACCAACTAATATCTTCAGCTGTTTACTGTTAAAATGCCAGGATTTCAAATCCTTCAAATTGACCCACATCCAAATGAGACCAACCGTGTGGGATTTAAATAAATAAAGCACTTTAGGCAATTGAAGTTGACATTTTTTTTCCCTTGATAATAAATTCACGCACCCACTTTTTGCCCCTAGATGTGGACTCGAACCCTTGATCCTCTACTTTGGAAAGCGAGAAAGTACTACTAGGCTACAACCCTTAATTCATTTTATTGAGCATAAGTTCACCATGCTAAGGTAAGGCATTAGATGTCTCTAGAGGACTTTGGGTCTAGAAGCCCTTATGTAAATTTGTGTTTGGTGCCACAATTACTACAATCATCAGAAAAGAGTTCAAATCCATAGTTGAATCGAAGAGGGAGGGGGAGAGTATCTAATTGATGATCTATCATGTGATGACCTGTAATTTATTTAATTTTTATTATTATATTTTTGTTAGTGATTTCATGTTATTCTATAAAAGTAAGAATAAAAATAGAATTTGCATAAACTAGTATTAAAATAGTAATCCTCACGTGAAAATGAATCAAGTGAGTATAATATTGACTATGCTTTGATTTAGTGGAATTTAATTAGTATTATTTTTTGTTATAGACTTTGTTACAAATTTATCTTATGAAACAATTATAAAAAGCTGTAAATATAGATATATGTATGTATATATGCGGGTATACCTAGGTCTTGCTTGAATCTATGAGTTGTGTCAGTTACTTATAGGAGTTAAAACCTAAACAAAGAGAATGACCCTAAGGCTTCTACAAATGACAAGTCTGTACTTTTTCATAGTCAAAAGGTTAAAGCTAGTTAATTAAGTTCAAAGGTTAAGGGATAGACTTTGCAACTTCTCATGTCAGTTATAAAATTAAGCATAAAAGTAGACCCTGTAGTCGCACATACTGACTTACACCACTCATGCATTGAGAAAAAATACATAGAGAGAAAAAGAGAGTTTAATTGGAGAAAGGGCCTTTGCATATCAGTTTCATCAGAGGCGGAGATGCTGATACAAAGATTTATTTAAGGGAAAGAATTCATTCAGGTAGGGGATTTACTCTCAGTTTATATGTGCAAATTGATGGGATCAAACTTAAAATAATTCTATTTTGGAGAAATATGTTCTATTTTAACAGTTGATGATCTATGTGTATGAATCTCATATCGGCATACATAAAATATTTATATATGCTGTATATACTCTATATATATAGGTTGCGTAATACATATATTGAACACTTAGAGTTCTCTAGTCAAACTTAGATATATATATATATATATAGGTGGTGTCAGGTAGAAAATGTGTACCAATTGAATACAGCCCGTCAAATCAATCTTTGTTCTTGAACGAGGGGAAAATTGGGCAAATGAGTACTGTTGCTATATTTTTCTTATGGGTATGCTTCATGTATATATATAAATAAATGTCAAATGTGAGAAAGAATCTATAAAGGTGGTTTCATAGAAGTTTTGGTTAATCTATTATAAAAATATTATATTTGATATAAGTCATTTGCCATGTCTGTACAATTAAATTATTTTAAAAGATGAAAGTTTACAGCGACTAGAGAACCCGTTTTATTATGTGGTAGATAACCCAGTAACGTGAAGGAAGATTCAAAACATTTGTTTTATGTCATTTTAATATATATATATATATATATATATATATATATATATATATATATATATATATTTTCTCTTCTTCCTCGGTAACCCATGCTTTGTTGAAAAGGTAAAATTTATCCAACCTTTTGGTTTTATTCTAACCTATATATATTATAATTGGGTCCTTTGAATGAATCTGACTTGGGTATTCAAATATATTTTACATTAGTTCATGAGTATGCTATGTGGTTGAAGAATGGGAGATTGTGTAATGTGAATTTCTTAAATGGCGTTACTGGTTTATTTTCTTGTGCAGGCACGGGCCTAGTATAGAAGGCAATGTGGGCAATTGCCCCACTGATTTCTTTTCTTTATTTTTTTTTAGTATTATATAGTAGTAATTTTTCCTTTTTTGAATTAGATTACAAAAAAAAAAAAAAAATCCCCCTATTGCCCCCCCACCCCCCCTTCTCGGTATTTCCTGGGTCCATCCCTGTTCTTGTGAAATTGTACAAAAGTCGTATTTCGGTTCTTGAAAGTGATTTTGATGCATGTTCTCGTACATGTATAACTGGCAGAGAATAGGTAGGGAGTGAAGGCCCTTCGGTTGAAAGGCTGAGAATTGTTCCAGAATTATAGTTAGGTGTCAGCGGTCTGTCATAAAAATGATTGGGAATTTGCTGGTGTGCGCAGTATACATGGTGGGGATTATTCTTTTAACCTCGTGGATTGAGATCTGACGTTATTTACTTGGATTTGGATTGTGTTAGGAGAATTTGTTATTGCTTTCCAATTTATTTTTAATTATGCTATAAGTTATTTGTGTGTATAAGTAAGTTTAAATGTGCACTGAAAGTTATAATATTGTAATTAATATTTAGAGTATTTTCCTACTGGGCGGTTGTGCTCATCCCAATATTTTTCAAGTTCGAGATAAAATGTTAATGAATGATTTTCAAAACTCACCTGATGGTGTTTGTTTGTTGCATGAGGAATTCTAAGAGATGTTCCTTCATTTATTTATTTATTTATTTTTAAATATTGTAATTGGCTGAAAGACTTCGTTCATATATTAATGGTCTCTCAGTTGTTACTTATCAAAAAATGGTCTCTCATTTGCTATGTTTGTTTTAGTTTGAAGGGTTGAAATATTGAGATGGTTTCTTTTTAATGCTATAAGAGTTATTTTATTTCATCCTATATAGTTTTAGTTTATTTTATTCTAGTTGTTTCATGTCCCAAAAATCGGGGTGTGGCATATCATCCCTTGTTAACCTTTCCACAATCTCTAGTGGAGAATGCTCCTTCCCATACCCAACACACTCTATATCTGGCGTGTTATCACTCTCCTCCATCTTTAACCACATCTATTCTTCTCAATTTTTATTGTTACTCTTCACCACCAGTGGCACTCTGAAATGGATAAGGAATTGGTATGAATTTGAAAACACCGATAATTATAGTTTTCGTTGAAGATTTTTGGAGCACCTTCATGGTAGAATTTTCCTTTCTGTTATAAGTTATACATCTGCTTCTTCATTGTACATTATTATTGTTTTATGTGAATAGTAATCAAATCAATTACATAATTTTAACATGTATTATCAATGGCATGCAACATTAACAAATATCGACAAATGTTTTGTGCAACTTTGTATCTCAATGCGTGTTAATTCGCGCAACAAATCTGATACCCTAAAATGTCCGTATCAACAGAAGTATGAGTACAACTTTACGCAAGTTGAGATTTTGATGTGTACGCATTGAACTTCTTCATAATTTTCTTTGTAAATAAAGCAACAACATAGTGTGTTTAGATTGAATAAATTGGAGGAAACAAAAGGCGAAGAAGGAAAAGCTTATCTCATTTTTGTTTTGAAAATGTGAAGGAAAGAAAAGGAAAAAGAGGTGTTACAACAAACATTGCGAGCAAAGAACAAACTAAGAATCACAACATAAAAGTAAACACGCCACACACAAGGAACATAAAGATTTACGTGATTCGGCAAAGCCTATGTCCATGATGAAGATTCGGCGAAAAATTTCACTATGTGAAAAACATGAGATTGCACGTTTCAGCCACCAAACCCTAGCTCTCTTTCTCTCTCTCTCTTATGCGGTTTTCAGTTTTCTCTCGTTATCCCACTCCAAACCCTAAACTCCCTTATATATCGGGCTACAAGAGAGTACCAAATAGGGTCCACGACCTGCAAGAGAAAAACAGGTGAAAAAATTGCCCCGGGGATTTATCACAAGAGGGGAGCATACTAGACCCTTGAATGGTGTTTTAATTATTTTCTCACAAGTAGGAGGAAACAAAGGGAACATAAAGGGTAATTAGTGGTAATCCATTTTATTGTCATCCTTTTTTTTTAACTTTTTTTTTCTTTTTTTCTTTTACTACTTATAAACATTTATTTCTTCTCTTCATGGTCTTCCCAAACAAAATGAAGGTCATGCTACTATCCTTCGTTTCTTTTGATTCCTTGTTTATCGATACACGAGAAGATGTCAACACTATTCTTTGTCTCCTTTTCTTTTCACTCTTAACTAAGCTATCACTTCCCACCTCTATTGCTTACCCAAAAGCACAGTGAGGGAATCCCAGTATCCAAGAAGGAATGGTTAGAATTGAAAACCAACAGTATATCTAGTTTATGTGTATCTCATGTTTCTCAGTCAGGAGAGCTGTAAGACTTGAATCCTGATAGAGTGACACTGTGTGGAGTTATGGTAGGTAGAGGGTTAACTTTGTAGCCCACACCACCGACCAAAAATGAAAGAAATCGATAATACAATACATTATTTATTTATTTATTTTTGTACAAATGTATCATTTAATGACCACTACTCAACCTGTCAAGTAATTGAAAATGTCATGTGTCGTTCTAAATTGCATGATGTTTGCTGAATTCTTGATTTCATTGCACATGTTACTAAGTTAGAATCCACCACATTCCCTAATGTAATTATCTTTCTTTCTTTTTCTTTTTTTTTTCCCCCCTTTTTGCTGGAACATTTGGGTGATGCATGTTTTGTCTAACTTATTGAATGGGTTCTTGCATGTACAAGTTGTGGAGAACTTGTTGAATACTCTATGGAGTTTTCTGCTTTCTTTTTCCTTTTTTATGAATCACTTTCTGTCATTTGATATATATATATATATATATATAGCTAATCTTCATTCTTAGAATATTACTAAGCTCAATGCCCTAATATTCGTCAAGGACTTTCAATTTTATTTATTTATTTTTTAATTTATAGAATCTTTCTTATATTAAATTTTACTCTTGGTCAGCCACTGGTGATAGAGCCACCAGAAAATGTCGTCTCGGCATCTGAACCAGCCATGGAGTTCGTCCTGCACTGCAGTTCAACTACATTAGAAGAGACGATAAAAGGAATAAATTTCAGTAGTGACCGCCCAAAAATTGACAATCATCTGCAAACCATGCACAAGATTCAACAATGGACAGAGTCAGCAATGAGCTCAGACAATCAGAGCAAAGCCAACAGTGCAATCCAGATCGTAGGTCCACTAGAGAATGAGTTTCGGATCATCCTGTTCAACCTCACCACTCCAATTGGTACCAATTCAAGTAAGTCTTCAACGGGTTCAAGTTCCATAACCGGTAGTACTACTAGCTATGAGAATTTTGATTGTACAAAGATAAATGTGAATAAAAAGGATGATCTCCGTAGTATTGCTGAGCAGATGAACTCTGCTGGACATGTTGGGAAGTGCATTGAGTTGTACAAGAGTGTAAGGAAGACCTTTTTGGACACAAGTCTTCATAGACTCGGCGTCCAGAAAGTAAGTATTAATGACATCCGTAGTTTGGAGTGGGAAGTGTTGGAGGTGAAGATCATACAATGGATACAAGCTGCTAAGATTTGTGTTAGAATTTTCTTTGCAAGTGAGAAGAAACTATGTGAGGAAATTTTTGGAGGTCTTGGAACTGCCATAGATGATGCCTGTTATGCAGAAACGGTTAAAGATCCTGCAAGTAAGTTATTTGACTATGGAAAAGTGCTATGTGCCTGCATAAGACATAGATCACGGCCAGAGAAGCTGTTCAAAATTTTACGCCTCCATAAGGAGTTGTCAGTTCTTTTGCCCGAACTTGATGCCATTTTCCCAGTACAATCTTTAGAATCTGTACGGAATCATGCTGTAGAGATGCTTCCGTGGCTTGCTGAGGCGTCAAGAGCGATTCTACTGGAATTTGAAAATAATTTGCTTCATGAACAATCGAATTTTCTGGATTACAATGGCACAATTCACTCCTTGACAATGTACGTTGTGAAATATATTTCTCAGATATGTAGCTACAGGGAAATTCTGACTAAATTGATCCTATCAAGTCCGTCAAAGCAGGAAGATGAGACATCTTCCAGCAATCTTACTGTTCCAGGTATATATTTAGCTGGAGTTGAGGGGCAAACACCTCTCTCGATCCATTTGATTTGGATCATTGATATTTTACAGTTCAAATTGGTTGGTAAGTCCAAGTGCTACAAAGATGCATCTTTGGCTCAATTATTCATGATGAACAATGTTCACTATATTGTTCAAAAGAATGAAGAGGACCCGGAGTTGCAAGAGATGATTGGAGATGATTACTTGGAGAAGTTAATGGGTAATTTTTGGCTGGCAGTAATTGGCTATCAGAGATCAACTTGGGACAGGATCTTTCAATGCTTAAGAGATGAAGGACTATTTTCTTCTGGGGTATCGAAGAGTGGGCTGAAAGAGAGGTTGAAGACCTTCAATACTATGTTTGAAGAGGTCCATCAGACTCAAGCAACATGGTTGGTACCAGACTTCCGTCTTCGAGAACGGCTTCTCTTATCCATATCAGATAATTTGCTTCCGGCTTATATGTCCTTTCTCGAGCTCTTCAAGAGACATATAGGAATTGAAGATCACCGAGAGAAATATATTAAGTACTCGGTTGAGGACCTTGAAGCTGCGATCTTGAATTTCCTTTTGGGACACCCGACACACCAGCACCAGAGGATATATTAGTGAACGAGGGGAAGAATGACACCAGAAAGGTAGAACTTAATCAATACTACATTTTTTTTTTAAGTTAGGAAATTGCTTTTTGAAGTACTGAAAAACTAAGCCGAGCGGAAGGAAAGATGACCAATATAAATATTGATGAGATGACATTATGTTTACCTCACATACGAATATCTATTGGTTATTTTCTTTTTGCATTGGTTAGTGGGCCAACTTTTCGGCCTGAATAGCATTTAAGTTTTTTAAATCCTAAATTATCAATCTGTTTTTCTAGAGCTCTCAAAATCATTGTGGATCACCTCTCAACATTGTCAAGTATTTTGAAAATCAAGTCCAGAATTGGCTGGGCCTTCAGTCTAAATTGTATAGGTTATTGTTTTTTTCTCCAAGGAATTAAAGAATTTAGCAAAATATGCCTTAGAATTGCAATATAGTGTCCAGTATGGTTCATAATTCCTTCTCTTTATCAGCTATGTACAAAAATGTAGAAGTAAAGATATGCCTTAGATATGTTTGTTCAAGTAAATATTGAGTTGCATATTTAAGTAATTATTTCTTAGCATGTTATTAATTATCTCATAGCATATTTGTATAAGGTTTGTTATAACTTACTACGTATATCTTAAATGTCACATGAAGCGTATGTTTTCCAACAAAATCCAAGTATGGTATTCCTAAAATCTGTAATTCCTAATCTTCTTGTATATCTTGGGCCAGTCCTTCTAAGGGTGCCTCATTATTCTCTAAATTGGCTATCATATTTGATCAGAAAGGAACTGCGGGCAATTTTCGGAGACTTTTCTGTTGTTACAAGACGTCGATGAAGACTTCATTAGATTCAGACTTTCAAGTTTGAGGGGGGTTGCTGATAATTTAGTTAACAAGTCCATACAGCACGCTTGAAGCTTCCCGACGGCATTTTCAACAGATTTCCGTAATTCGTGCATCTTAGGTTTGTTTTGGTTCTTTGTGAGCCTGGAACCTCTTCATAATACTTTGCTTTGGTGTGCTGGCTTTCTGGTTTGTGATGGCTCTGAGCCACTGCTTTTGTAAAAGTTTGCAAGTCTCGTCTCCCTTGATTATGTTTGGCTGTTTACCATAAGGGAAGAACTGGTTCTTGTCGGAGTTCCTTGCATTTCACTTGGCAAGATTTTCAGATTTCTCGTTTGGTGGTGCTTTGGTTTAATGTGGAGATTCAGGGGTGTTCTTGTGTCCTTGCTTTGTAATTTAACCTTTCTTGTCTTAATTAGATTTTGTTGAGAATGCTTTGATTTCACACACTTGTAATATGGAGGTATGCCGCCTTGACCTTGTACTGGTTGTTGATCAATATTATTCCCGTTCTTGCTTACCATATTACTTCAAGCTTCAAAGCGTCCTACATTTTTTTTTTTTTTGTGTTGTTGTCTAGGTTCTTATTTTAGAGGGAAGACGGGGAGGAAGGTGACTGGAGAGAAGGGATCGAGAATTGAGAAATAAGCTTTGTGTTCGAAAGAACATATTTCCTTCATTACATTGTTCAATGGTGGTCAGCCCAGGGGAGGGGAGAGGAGGGAAAGGTCAGTTTCAATATGATGATTGGTTAAATTTCTCTCAAACTATCTTCTCCTCCGCAAACCTGTACTTGTGTCTCAACCTCTAAGAGCATCTCCAGGTAAAAATTTTTGTGTGAATCTGATGTGTCATAATAAATTTATATAAAAATTTTGCACTAACTATTTTTAACTCCAGCAGTTATTTTATACCTTTTATGTAAAAAAGTATCTCCAATAATAACCAACCACGTGTCATACCTAATGCCCTACATAATTTTTACAAACCTACTTTATTCAGTTTATTTTGTGGCGATTAAACCTCACGTCCCAATCCTCCTCATGAATTAAGCTATGTTTATTAAAATATATATATATAAATAAATAAAAGATGGTCGAAACAAAGAGGCGTAAAGGAATGAGAGAGAAGAAAGAGAACCGTGAGTAGGAAAGGGAGAAGAGAGAGAAAATATATTTACACGACAGTGTAAAAGTGCTGTGTAAAATATACAATATTTTTATATATTGGTGATGTGGCAGTGCATCTTAACAAATTACTAAAAATAAAAAAAATTTACAAATTATATGTGACCGTATATATTTTACATTAAAAAAAAAAAAAAATTTAACCGACCACTAGATATACTCTAAGAAGCACAAAACGAAGACCTGAAAAGAAACGTCTTGCTTCTTTAATGCTAATTTGTTGGTTCTTTCTGATACCATTTTTATCGAAAGATAAAGTAAAAGGAAGATATGTATTCAGAATATGTGTTTTGAGTATTTATTAGAGCTTTGTTCAATCAAATCAAATAAGTGTTTGATTTGAAACTTGACGACACTCATATTTTGGCTCTCGTCACTCAAGATTAAAAATAAACTTATCAAGCAATAAATAACAAAATAAAAAAGCTAAATTACACCATGGAGCTTAATTACAAAGCTATCAACTTCGTGCGATTTACAATCACTGATGTTCCAGGTTATAATCCAAACATTTGTCCATTTAGTAGATATTTTAGAGAGCTGTGCTGGTGTTGCTCTAGTGATAGGACAGGCTTTTATATCTCTCAATCTTATGAATCTCAGGTTCGATTTCTTTTTCCTTCTCCCGCTAACCTACTAATCATTGTCAAGATAAATAATAATAATAATAATAAATATTTTATAGGAAAAAACTACCCTTAGAGCATGGAGCATGCTTTTACATTCAATTAGGTAATTTAATGTGTACTACATTCAGGAATGGATCTAAAAAATATTATGTGAGGGGAAAATATATATATATATGGTGGGATTGTTTTGTAAATTCAACGACAACGAACTTTAAATTTTTATGAGTATAAAGTACAAAAAAATAATTAACCAAAGATATATATATATATAAAATATATATTAGTTGGGACGAATTGACCCCTCTGAACCCTTCACAAATCCTTTCCTGATTATATTTTCATTTGAAATTTTACATTTCATTATTATGGTCATCGTCATCCTCCACCGCGGCTTTTCCCATATGATATAAATTGAATCGGAATTCTTTTTTCTTCAATCCTTCCTATTAGAACATTCTACCTACTATATTTAATTTTTAATAAATTATTTTTAATGAATTCATCCCATATTATTATTATTAAATTTTTTTTTTGACATTTTATATTATTTTTAGGAAGACAATATTGACACTCTACTTTTATACAATGCACTCCAATCTTAAAAGAAATGACACCTCTAACCCTAATTTTAAAAATTAATAATTATTTTTCTCAAATACCACATCTACCCTTTTTTTCCAGATATGATAAGATATTCTTTTTGTCTCCCTTTTTCCCAATCAACATTTTTGGTATTTTGCTTTTTGTTAACCTATCTTTTTCTCTTGTTTCCTGTCTTTCTAAACCCTTTCTCTATTTTGTATTAATTTTTTGGGTAAAGTACAGCTACACTCATGAGGTTTGATAGGAGGACACTCAAATGAAACTTACCTGTTTTTTTTGGACAAAGACACCCCTTTACATGAGAAATTGACCAAATTAGGTTTTGACCGTTTAGGAGACTTTTTTAACTTTACACTTTAATAAATTTGACCAATTTACCCTCATGAACAAAAAAAAAAATATACTTTATATTGTTCACTTTTTCTTTTTTTTTTCTTACTATAGAAATGTTTCAACTTTTTAAAAATGTAGACGTCTAAAATAATTTTTTGATCCAATACATATATTTCAAATAAATTATATTTTGTTATTACTTCTTTTCTTTTTTTTTTTTTTTTAAATTAAGATGCTTAATTCTTTCATCTAAAAAACTTAAACCAATCTCTTTTCCTTAAAAATAAAAAATATGGTAGAAGTATAACTTTATGCATCTTAAATTATATATAAAATATTATACATTTCCCAATATAAAAGAAAATAGGTACCAGTATAACTTTATACACGCCTTTGTTTTTTTTTTATTATTTTTTCCGTTTGTTTTATTTTTTTTCCCTTTTATGTTGGGAAATGCATAATATTTTATATATAATTTAAGATGCATAAAGTTATACTGGTACCACATCTTTTCATTTTAAAGGAAATGAGATTGGTTTAACTTTTTTAGATGAAAGAATTAAGTATCTTAATTTTAAAATAAAAAGAAAAAGAAAAGAAGTAATAACAAAATATAATTTATTTGAAATATATGTATTGGATCAAAAAATTATTTTAAACGTCTACATTTTTAAGAAATTGGGATATTTCTAAAATAAATTACCAAAAAAAAAAAAAAAAAAAAAAAAAAAAAAAAAAAAAAAAAAGAAGAAGAAGAAGAAGAAGAAGAAGAAGAGGAAGAAAAAGTGAACAATATAAAGTATTTTTTTTTTAATGCATAAATTGTTCATGAGGGTAGATTGGTCCTATTTATTCAATTGTAAAGTTAAAAAAGTTTCCTAAACGGTCAAAGGGTAATTGGTCAATTTCTCATGTAAAATGGTGTCTTTGCCCATTTTTTAACCTTCAGGGGGTGTATTTGTCTAAAAAACAGGTAAGTTTCCTCTTAGCATTCTTTTGTCAAACCTTAGGGGGGTGTGGCTGCACTTTACCCTATTTTTTTTTTTTTCTCCTTCTCATTTGGTTTGACATTGATCTCTGTAAATAATATTTAAATATTTCACCAATGAAGAAACAACAGAATTTAACAACTTAATTGATCTTGTTAGCAATATTGAATAACTATTAAAACTTCATAAACCATTAAACTTATTTGATGATGATGATAATAAGGATGGGAATGGTATTTTTTTTTTTCATTTTTATTTTCTATTTTATGCTTTGAGTTTAGGGTTTTTTTGTTTTGGATATGAATTTTAAGAATAAATTTGGAATTTATTTGAATATTTAAGTTTATCTTGTACTTGTTGATAAATAAAGTCCTAACCTTTTGACAATAAAATTAAAAGACAACTGATTTTGTTTTAAAAAAAAAAAAAAAAATTGTAAATAAAGTAAGAAGAAAAAGTTTATAGGAAAATGGTAGATGTGATATTATAAAACGGGGAGGATTCATTAATGAGATTGAGAATATTCTTGTCATTTCCTTTAAAGAAATATCAATTATGCCAAAGTGGAATGCGAATATTGTCTGCCTATTTTTTTTGTCTTCTCCATTTTTTGTTACAATTAGTATTCCTTATCGGACTAGCTTCTCTAATGTTGTGTTCGATAGGAAGGAACCAAAGTGGAATGCGAATATTGCCTCCCTATTTTTATTGTCTTCTCCATTTTCTGTTACAATTAGTATTCCTTATCGGACTAACTTCTCTAATGCTGTGTTCGATAGGAAGGAAGAAAAATGTGTAAAGAGAAAATAGAAATGAAAGAACGGATTTTCAAACTCCGTTAGAGTATCTCGAATGCTAAAACCTATTTTCACATACCAAATCTATATTTTGACAGGTGCTACAGTGCCAAAATGCTACATTTTAGCAATTCTGCTCCAATGGTACATTTCACGCAAAATGCTATTTTTTAACACAACCACTATTATTTTTCAACTACCATTCCCACCATTCATATTTGCATCAGTAATATTAATATTAGGCACATTCCAAGTCAAATTGTAGACATTAGAAGGAAACTAAAATTAAACCTAATTAAAAAGAAATACAAATCTAAAATATCTGGTCAAAAAATAAATAAATAAATTTTTTATAATTTTTTTACCACTATTTGATTTTTTTATATAAATTTTTTTTTTCGGGAATTTATATATATTATATGTAATATACATATAAAGATGCAAGTGGGTGATGACCGGTGAGAAATGGCACCGTTTTGGGAAATGAGAGGCTTGCCAAAAAAATTTGACAGCTGCCATATATGAGAAGAAATTTGAGAATCTCAAATTTTGAGAGCTCAAATAAGAGCCCATTAGAGAGGCCTTTTTTTCTACCCAACTCTCATATTTTGAGTTTGAGATGCCCAAATGAGAGAGCATTGAAGTTGCTCTTACAAATTTTCATTCACCCAAAAAATGGGTCGAGGGAAGACAAGTAGTAGACTATTATAGAAGTTTTAAAGGAGAAAAATCACAGAACCCCTTCTATTATCATTTTCGTCCAAAAAAAACCCCATTAAAATTAAACATCCCCAACTAAAGAAATGCTATCTAAGTTACCACATACCCATGACTCGCCCGTTTATTAGGTCGTGAAATAACAAAATTAACCTTATGATTTAATATTAAATTAAAAAATGATATTTATTATTATGAAATTATGAAAACGCCCATCATCTTCTTCCTCTTCACTCTCTCTTCAGAACATTTACCCCACTCTCTCAAATCAATCTCTCTCTAGATTGGTGAGGGTGGTGGTCAGGTGGTGGCCGTGTTGTTCACGGCCACCTCCGATGCAATGATTGTCATTTCCCACTCCTCCTCTGTAACTGACTTAGATAATAAACTTGGTGAGGGTCATATGCAAATCCTATGCTTAATTGCAACAGACGTTTTTCAAGAGATAGCCCCTCCTTCCATACAATACGTACTGCAAATAGTACCCCAAGAACAGCATCAGAATACTCTGCCATTGTATTTGGAATGATTTACAATGACAACATGGAAGTAGTTCACAAAGCCATAATTTACGCCAGTGATGAATTGGGTAAGTCAGTGTGTGTGTGTATATATATATAGCATATGATAAAATAAATTAAAATGGTATGAATTCATTTTTGATAAATTAAAATGGTATATATCATATGATAAAATATATATCTTGTATTAGAATTCATTTTTGATAACATAGTGTTGAATGTCTTGTTTGTTTTAGATAAGAGACTCTTGTATGGAGGGGATGCCATTGAGTGGATTTGAAAATTTACAGAGAGGACAGCTCTGTTGCTCTGGCAGCATGCACGTCCCATTAGAGATGGTGTATGTCGGCAAGAGCACCAAAAGCGAGCAAATCTGATCTTTTTACTTCGACCATCATCACTCAGCTACTGCTGGCAAGACATTAATGTTGCAATTGTTGGGAAACGGAAGTTTTTAAAACTTTATGAGGTATTCTTAAATGAAGATTCTAATTCATGTGTAGAGACAAGTTTTATGTACGAAGAACATAACGATTCATTCAATTTAAGGATAAAAAACTTACACCAAGGTTTGAGTAAAAAACCTTACACCAAGGTTTGAGTAAAAAGGATAAAAAACTTACACCAAGGTTTGAGTAAACCTTAAATATCTTGTTCTCACTTATTGTAGATCCTTTTTGCTAGATACCTCTTCTATGGATCTCATCTTGTTGGTAATATGTTGCCATTAGGAATCACCCATAAGTCTCCATGAATGACCTTCAAAAACTTAGCTTGTGGGAGCTTCCATTAGATGAGAAAAGGAACCCTAATTCCTAAAATATACATGAACCCCATGTGTGGAGGGAAAAAAACTCCCTCCAATAAGAAGCGTACACGTCATCACTACACATATCTACATTCCAAGGACATATGAGGCCCGTCCGGATCAAGCCCAAATTATATTATCTTTTAGCCCAATACCACTTACGTTGGACCTTCAACACTGGATGAAAGCCTTAACCAGCCCAATATCACCTCATTGGAAGTACCGGCCCCTTCATGAAGTCATCCAATCCATATTACATCCGGCCCAAGTACACCATCTATGGTCCAGTCCTAATAAGAAAAGGACTCAACACAAAGGAAGTTTCCGTGTGAGAGATATTTTACATAGGAAGAGTTATACAAAGAAAAGAACTCCATTTAAGGAGAATATTGTACATGGAAAAGGATTGGAGGACAAGCAATGCGAGTCCTACCATGATTCTACTATACTATTTGTGTATAAATAGAGGCCCAGACCTCCAATAAAGGGATCAAGCAATTCTACGCTTTTCTATACACTATTCTTATTTATTCTTATTGTTTTTGAGTGAGTTGTTTGATTTTTCTCAATCATTATTGGTTGAGCGGAATTTTGCACCTACACCATGTATATGTAGGCAAAATAAAAATAATAATTAAAGACATAATATTTTTCAATCTCAAATCTAATAGGATTCCAATATCAAGTTGAGTTATGAGTGAGAATTCTTTGGACTTATTATTTTTTTGGTTACAATGAATTAATAATTGGCCCGATCTACGGACCCAATTCAATTAATTTATAACTTAATTTCTACTCCACTAAAAGAAATTAATTGAACTCCAATAAAATAATAAACAACCTCTAAGTCAATGTTGCATTTTGATCCCTCTATGTATAATTAGTTATCGGATAAATAAAGCCTTCAATTCGACTACTTGATTAATATATTTATTTTGGTACTTTTGATTATTTCCGGCTTGATCACAATAAAATATTTGTTTGACAAAAATAATAATTTTAATAAATAAATATATAATAAATCATTTTGTCTAAAAACAAATGAAGGCCTTCGAATTTACTTTGTGATCAACCATAATCAATACAAAATAAATACAAGTAGCAATGATGCAAATATTGAAAATATAACCCTTTTAACTATTAATTATATAATTACTCAAAGTGCTGGTTTATGGATTCCGAAGATTTCGCCGAACAAATCAAAGTAATTACTAATTAATAAAAGAATTTATACTTCTCTCATACTTAATAGTCAAATGCCATGACAGTGATAAGGAGCAATTGGATACGACGGCTCTCGTAATATATCTCAATCTAACGCGGATTCAGTTCAAGTCTTAATTAATAATGAGTCCATTCATAATTACCGACTATGAACTATTTATGATTACTATTTATGTTCATGTATTGATCGCCATCACATACATATATAAATATCTTTTATAATTAAGTGGACACTGTCAATTTCATAATGAATAGAAACATAATACGTTGACACCAATTGTATGAAATATAAATATTTTAGATATGTTAGGAACATATGTCACTTTAATCCGAATAGGAATTTGCTATGCCAGGGCATATAAATCCCAACAACAATAATTTCATATAGTCGGCAAACTTGGTGAGGGTGGAGAGGGGTAAAAGTTCTAAAGAGAGTGTGAAGAGGAAGAAGAATATGGGCATTTTTGTAATTTCACAAAAAATATTAGTTTTTAATTTAATATTAAATCATAAGATTAATTTTGTCATTTCACAACTTAATAAACGGGTAGATCACAGATATGTGGTAACTTGATAGCATTTCTTTAGCTGGAGGAGTGTTTAATTGTAATGCCGTTTTTTGGACGAAAATAATAGTAAGGGGGGTTATGTGATTTTTTCCTAAATTATACCGGATTTAAATTAGAATATTATTCTCTAGGTTACAGTATTATAAATAATATAGATATAATGATAAAAAACAATTAAAACTCCATTTCTTTCCCTCTTAACTAACATGGTAAATTATAAGCTTATTCACTTCTATTCTATCCAACCAAACTAAAAAGAGAAGAAAATACACAATCTCTTTTCTAGGTGTCACATCTATTCCTTTTTCTCTCCCTTCCATTAGATTTTTTTCTTTCCTTGTAAACGGATCATAAATCTATCCTCTATAATTTTCTTAATAATTACAACCACCTCTAATTTCTCTCTCACTCTATCCTGTCAAGCTCTACATCGATTTTTTCTTATTAATTACATTTTTAATTTTTAATTCACAAAAACAGATTTTACAAAATCAATTTTTGGTATTAATTGGAGTACATTTATTTAATTTATGATTTAGTTAACAGAACTTGCAAAATACAAAATCCTAACTACGCTCGGTGTCTGTAAACCACTCACCTAACATTACCCGAGCAAAACTTAAATTCATTTCTCAATCTTCTTCTTTCAACAAGGACTGTTCATTTTTTTTTTTTCCTACCTGCATAAAGGGTATGGAGGAGTAGAGAGAGGAGATCAGGTAAAGAAAGAGAGGAGGTTCTAGGGTTAGGGTTTGTGTGGAAGGAGAAGGCAGAGTCCCAAACCTCCACCACCGCCACTTCAATAAACCCACTAGCCAGTACATACCCGTGGAAATGGAATTGGTTTTCCGAAACTCCCAAAATGAAAACTTACTTAATCTTCTCCACCACTATTCTATTCTCTCCTCTTCCTACCAGGCCTCGACGTCGAAAATACGGCCGTGGGTGACCAAATTGATTCAGAGAGCTAGAATATACAAGCTGGACAAGGGCAAGAATAACTGGGAAAGTGGAGTCACTGTGTTCTTCATATCTCAAGGCATTTGTCATATTTAAGGGTATATAGTTAACATAACTTTCTCATATTTTGGTGTTAATTTTCTTTCTTTCTTTCTTTTTACTGGAACAGTTTGGTAATACAAATTGGTGTGAATTCATGAAATGGACTCTTGCATCTACAAATACGCGTTATACTCGTCCGAGTTCCTTTTTTTATTTTTCAATCACTTTCCTTGATAATTCTTTTTTTTTTTTTTGGGTTTTCTCCGACTATCCAACCACTTTCCGGGAAATTGCAGTTTTGATTGTGACTAAAGCGTGGGAGCCAAATAAAAATAAAAATAAAAATAAAAATGATGTGATTTCTGGGAAGTCTGCTCAGCATTATCTCCTATATTCAATTTTAATTCTTGAAACATTGCAATATTCAAAGCAATTCAAGTTCCAAATTCTTAGAATTCCTTTTTGTTTGGAATTTTACTCTTGATCAGATGGTTTTTAAATTCTTAATGTTGTGTAGAAGCAACAAACCAACGGTGAAAGAGCACCAAGAAAATGTTCTCTCAACTGCCCTGGAGTTAATCTTGCGATCTGGTTCCACGGTATCAGTGGAAAATAAAGAAGGAATGATCTTCAATGGTGACCGTTCAAAAACTGTCCAGTATTTGCAAGCTCTGGACGAGATTTTACAGTGGACGGAGTTGAGAACAAGCTCAGATGTTCAGATCAAAGCCAACGGAGCAATCCAGATTGCAATGGCTCGGCTTGAGAAAGAGTTTGGGATTGTCTTGTTCAGCCTCACCAGTTCAATGGATACCGATTCAAGTCAGTGTTCGAATTCTTCAAGTTCCATAACAGGTGATACTAGTAGTAGCTTGGGTAGTACTAGTAGTAGCTTTGGCAGTTATGATTATAAGAAGTTCAATATAACTATTAAGAATGATCTCCGGAGTATTGCTGAGAGAATGAACTCTGCTGGACATCTTATCAAGTGCATTAAGATGTACAAGAGTGTACGAGAGCCCATACTGGACGCAAGTCTTCAAGGACTAGGCATCCAGAATTTAAGTATCAATGTCTTCCGTAGGTTGGAGTGGGAAGAGTTGGAGATGAAGATTAGACAGTGGATGCAGGCTTATAAGATTTATGTCGAGGTTCTCTTTGCAGGAGAGCGGAGACTCTATGAGCGTATCTTTAGAGGTCTTGGAACTGCCTCAAATGATAATTGTTTTGTTGAAATGATCAATGATCGTACAACTCAATTATCCAAATTGGGGGAAGCCATAAGCATCTGCCTAAGCGGTCGATCATGGAGTCCAGAGAAGTTGTTCAAAATTTTAGACCTCCACAAAGCATTGTCAAAAAATTTGCCTGCTCTTGATGTTGTTTTTCAATTCAAATCATTAGAATGTATTAGGATTCAGGCGGCAGCGATATTGCGTCAGCTTGTGGAGGCATCCAGAGGCACTCTAAAGGAATTTGAGATTAGTGTGCTTCATGAGCAGTCCAACTTTCAGGATCAAAGAGGTAGAATTAACACCTTCACAACATTTGTTATGGATTATATTACTCAGATCTCTTCCTATATGGAAACACTAACTAAATTGATCGTATCGAAGCCGCCAAAGCTGAAAGAGAAGAGAATATCCACTGATCTTTTGGGGCGGACTCTATTGGAGGACCATTTGGTTTGGATTATTGAAGTTTTACAATTCAAATTGTATGGTAAATCCAAGTGCTATGAGGATGCATCTTCGGCTCAATTATTCATGATGAACAATGTTCACTACATTGTTCAGAAAATTGACCAGGAACCAAATTTGCAAAAGATGATTGGGCTCAATTACATGGAGAAGCTATCGGAAAATTTTCAGGTACTGGTGATTGGCTATATGAGATCAACGTGGGTGAGGGTTATCGATTGTCTGAGAGATGAAGCACTAAATGTGAACGGAAGTCTTTCTCCTGGGGTTTTAAATTGTGCATTGAAGGAGAGGTTAAAGGCCTTTAACTCTATGTTTGAAGAGGTTTTTCATACTCAAGCAAGATGGGTGGTACCGAGCTTGCACCTCCGTCAGAAGCTATGTGATTCCATATCAGAGAAGCTTATTCCAGCCTACAGCTCCTTTCTTGAGAGGTTCAAGAGTCATATAAGGAGGGAAAATCACCAAGAGAAATGCATTAACTACTCGGTTGAGGACCTAAAGACTGCAATCTCAAATCTCTTCGCGGGCAATGTGGAGGTTCAACTCTGATCCTTCTATCTATATCTTTCTCTAACTGTTACTTTACTGAATGAGAAGAACATTTTATTTTAAACCATCTATCATATTCTTTTACTCGATCAAGTGACTATAATACTTGCCATACAGCACATCATGTAGTCTTGCAGCTTTCTAGTAAATACTTGTGTGGAATTTGTGTCTATAAAATGTGATTGGGTGTGTTAAATTGGTGATGCAGATAATTTACCGCTAAGATAGACCCCAACTAACTATACTAAATGTTAAAGACCAGAGACAATAAACTTATTTCATAGAACACCATCTTACCAACAAAGAGTAGTGCTTTTGATGTCTTTGGGAAGAACATTAACTTGTAAAAAAGGTCAAATTAGATTGGTGATTAATTGAGTTCAATTCATGAGTGCATTATCTACTGCTATGTACCCTTCTTTATATACGTGATTGATGGAGTAAAATTTTACCAAAGCAAACTTACGAATACTATGAACCAACTAATATCTCAGCTGTTTACTGCAGAAATGCCGGGATTTCAAATCCTTCAAATTGACCCACATCCAAATGAAACCAGTTGTGTTGGGCCTAAATGAAAAAAACATTTTAGGCAATTGAAGTTGATACTTTCACTCGAACCTCTTAGCTTTTGCTGAAAGTGAAAAGAAGGGAATGGGACTCTCTTATATCATATTATTGAGCATAGTTCACCATGCTAAGAATAAGGCATTAGATTTCTCTAGACGACTTTGGGTCTAGAAGCCATTATGTGAAAGAAATTAGTGTTTGGTGCCACAATTACTACAATCATCGTAAAAGAGTTTCAAATCACTAGTTGAATCATAGAGGGTGGGGGCAAGTATCTAATTGATAATCTATCATCCCTTGTTGACTGTTCCACAAGCTCTAGTGGAGGGTGCTCCTTCCCATACTCAATTCACACCGTATCTGTCGCATTATTACTGTCCTCTATCTTTAATCACATTTATTTTTGTCATTTTTTCTTGTTACTCTTCACCGCCTTTGGCACTCAGTAATGGATAAGGAATTGGAATGAATTTGTAAACACCAATAATTCTAGTTTTCTCGAAGTTTCTTAGAGCACCCTCATGGTAGAAGTTTCCTTCTATTATATTTTTTTGATAAGTTTCCTTCTATTATAAGTTATACGTAAGCTTTTTCATTGCACGTTATTATTGTTTGATGTAAACAATAATCAAATCAATTACATAATTTAAGATGTTTTAGAAGGGCATGCAACATTAACAAATATCAACAAATATTTTGAGCAACTTTGCATCTTAATGTATGTTAATTCATGCGACAGAGACCTTAAAATGCCCGTATCAACAGAAGGATGAGACCTTGATGTGTATGCATTGAACTTCTTCATAGGCAACAAGTATGTTTTTCCTGCAACAAACTTCTTTGTAGATAAAAGCAACAACATAGTGTGTTTAGATTGTAATAATTGAAAGGAAAGGAAAGGAGGAGGAGGAAAAGCTTATCTTGGCTTCGGTTTGAAAATGTGACGGGAAGGAAAGGAATAAGAGGGAAGCATACTAGACCCTTGAATAGTGTTTTGACTATTTTCCCACACGTAGGAGGTGGAAACGAAGGGAATGTGTAAAGCTAATTAGTGGTAATCCGTTTCATTCTTATCCTTTTTTAACTAAGAATTCTATTTTTTTTTTTTTTTCCTTTCCCACTCATAAACATTTATTTCTTCTCTTCACTGTCTTCCCAAATAAAATGAAGGTGGTGCTACTATCCTTTGTTTCTTTTCATTCCTTAGTTATCGAAACACAATTAGATGTCAACGCTATCCTTCGTTTCCTTTCTTTTCACTCTTATCTAAGCTATCAATTCCTCCTCTCTTGCTTACCCAAAAGAACAGTGAGGGAATCCCAGTATCCAAGGAATGGTTAGAATTAAAGACCAGCAGTATATCAAGCTTATGTGTATCTCTTGTTTCTCAGTCAAGAGAGCTGTAAGACTTGAGTCCTGCTAGAGTGACATTGGATAGAGTTATGGTAGGTAGTGGGTTAACTTGTGTAGCCCACACCATCGACCAAAAAGAAAGTATTAGATAATACAATACATTCTTTAATTTTTTTTGGTCGAATGTACTATTTAATGATCACTACTCAACCTCTCAAGTAATGGAAAATATCATGTGTAGTTCTGAATTACATGATGTTTTGTGTCTTGTTGCTACATTCTTGATCCAATTGCATGTGTTACTAGGTTAGAATCCAACACATTCCCTAACGTAATTTTCTTTCTTTCTTTCTTTCTTTCTTTCTTTCTTTATTTTTCTTCCCTTTTTACTTGAACATTTGAGTTATGCAGGTTTTCTCTAACTCATTGAATTGGTTCTTGCATGTACAAGTGGTGAACTTGTTAAATACTCTATGGAGTTTTCTGCTTTCTTTTTCCTCTTCATGAACCACCTTTTCACATTCAATTTTCCCCCCTTTGTCTACTTTCCTCCCACTTACCTGGAAGTTACAGTTTCAACAGAACAGTGTTGATTAAGAAAAATGGGGTGTGATTACTTGGAACTTTTATTTTATATATATATATATATATATATATATATATATATATATATATATATCCAATTTCCATTCTTAGAACATTACCAAGTTCAATGCCCTAATCTTCATCCAGGACTTTCAAGTTTTTAAATTCTTTGAATGGTTCTTATATTAAATTTTTCTGTTGGTCAGATGGTTCTTAAATTTCATAGAAGTAACCAGCCGCTCGTGATAGAGCCACCAGAAAATGTTGTCTCGGAATCTCAACCTGCCATGGAGTTAGTCCTGCATTGCAGTCCAACTACATTAGGAGAGACGATAGAAGGAATAATCTTCAGTAGTGACCACTCAAAAATTGACAAGCATCTGCAAACCGTGGACGAGATTCAACAATGGACAGAGTCAGCAATGATCTTAGACAATCATAGCAAAGCCAATTGTGCGATCCAGATCGTAGCTCCACTCGAGAATGAGTTTCGGATCGTCCTGATCAGCCTCACCAGTACAATTTGTACCAATTCAAGTAAATCTTCAACAGGTTCAAGTTCCATAGGTGGTAGTACTACTAGCTATGAGAATTATGATTATACAGAGTTAAATGTAAATAAAAAAGATGATCTCCGTAGTATTGCTGAGAAGATGAACTCTGCCGGACATATTGGGAAGTGCATTGAGTTGTACCAGAGTGTAAGGAAGACCTTTTTGGACACAAGTCTTCATAGACTTGGCATCCAGAAAGCAAGTATTAATGACATCCGTAGTTTGGAGTGGGAAGTGTTGGAGGTGAAGATCATACAATGGATACAAGCTGCAAAGATTTGTGTTAGAATTTTCTTTGTGAGTGAGAAGAGACTATGTGAGCAAATTTTTGGAGGCCTTGGAACTGCCACAGATGATGCCTGTTATGCAGAAACGGTTAAAAATCCTGCAAACCAGTTATTTGACTATGGAAAAGCGCTATGCATCTGCATAAGACACGGATCACGGCCAGAGAAGTTGTTCAAAATTCTACGCCTCCATAAGGAGTTGTCAGTTCTTTTGCCCGAACTTGATGCTGTTTTCGCATTGCAATCTTTAGATTCCATACAGAATCATGCTGTAGAGATGCTTCCATGGCTTGCTGAGGCGGCAAGAGGGATTCTACTGGAATTTGAAGATAATGTGCTTCATGAGCAGTCGAATTTTCTGGATAACAGTGGCACAATTCACTCCTTGACTACGTATGTTGTGAAATATATTACTCAGATATGTGGCTACAGGGAAATTCTGACTAAACTGATCCTATCGAAGCCGTCAAAGCTGGAAGATGAGACATCTTCCAACAATCTTACTGTTCCAGATATGGATTTAGCTGGAGTTGAGGGGCGAACTCCTCTCTCAATCCATCTGATTTGGATCATTCATATTTTACAGTTCAAATTGGTTGGTAAATCCAAGTGCTACAAAGATGCCTCTTTGGCTCAATTATTCATGATGAACAATGGTCACCATATTGTTCAAAAGATTGAGGAGGACCCGGAGCTGCAACAGATGATTGGAGATGATTACCTGGAGAAGTTAACGGAAAATGTCCGGCTGGCAGTAACTGGCTATCAGAGATCAACTTGGGACAGGATCTTTCAATGCTTCAGAGATGAAGGACTAAATGAGAGTTGGAGTCTCTCTTCTGGGGTGTCGAAGAGGGGGCTGAAAGAGAGGTTGAAGTCCTTCAATGCTTTGTTTGAAGAGGTACATAAAGTTCAAGCAACATGGTTGGTACCAGACTTCCATCTACGAGAAGTGCTTCTCTTTTCCATATCAGATCATTTGCTTCCAGCTTACATGTCCTTTCTCCAGCTCTTCAAGAGACATATAGGAATTGAAGATCACCGAGAGAAATATATTAAGTACTCGGTTGAGGACCTTGAGGCTGCAATCTTGAATTTCTTTTTGGGACGCCCAACACACCAGCACCAGAGGATATAGTGAGCGAGTGGAAGAACAACACCAGAAAGGTAGAACTTGATCGATACTATATTTTTTAAAGTTAAGAAATTGCTTTTTAAAGTATTGAAAAACTCAGCCAAGCGGAAGGAAAGATGACCAATAAATATTGACGAGATGACATTATGTTTACCTCGCGTACGAATATCTATTGGTTATTTTCTTTTTGCATTGGTTGATGGGCCAACTTTCGGCTTGAATAGCATTTAAGTTTTTTAAATCCTAAATTATCAATCTGTTTTTCTAGAGCTCTCAAAATCATTGCAGATCACCTCTCAACATTGTCAAGTATTTTGAAAATCAAGTGTAGCCAGTCCAGAACTGGCTGGGCCTTAGTCTAAATTGTATAGGTTATTGTTATTTTCTCCTACGAATTAAAGAATGTATCAAAATATGCCTTAGAATTGCAATATAGTGTCCCGTATGGTTTGTTATTCCTTCTCTTTATCTGCTGTACAAAAATGTAGAAGTAAGATATGCCTTAGATATGTGTGTTTTGTGCACGAGGAGCATAGCAAAACTATTACACTTGCCTAGAGTTCAGGTGCACATTAAATCCAAGTATGGTATTTCTAAATTTTGTAATTCATGGTCTTCTTGTATATCTTGGGCCAGTTCCTTCTTTAAGGGTGCCCCATTATTCTCTTAATTGGATCTCTCCACACTTGGCTATCATTTTTGGTCAGAAAGGAACTGCAGGCAATTTTCAGACTTTTCAAGTTTCAGGGGGTTGCTGATAATTCAGTTAAAAAGTCCATACAGCACAGTTGGAAGCTTCCAGATCGCATTTTCAACAGATTTCAGTAATTCATGCATCTTAGCTCTGTTTTGGTTCTCTGTGATTCTAGAACCTCTTCATAATAGTTTGCTCTACGAGAGCTTTGCTTTGGTGTGCTGGTTTTCTGGTTTGTGATGGCTCATAGGTACTGCTTTTGTGTTTGCAAGTCTCTTCTCCCTTGATTCTGTTTGGTTGTTTACCACAAGGGAAGAACTGGTTCTTGTTGGAGTTCCTTGCATTTCGCTTGGCATGATTTTCAGGGTTCTCTTTGGTGGTGCTTTGATTTAATGTGGAGATTCTAGGGTGTTATTGGGTCCTTGCTCAAGGGCATTGATCCATCATTTGTATGTATTTTAGCCTTTTTTCTTTTAATTAGATTTTGTTAAGAATGCTTTGATTTCACACGTGTAATATGGAGGTATGCCTTCTTGACCTTGTACTGGTTGTTGATCAATTTTATTTCCTTTGCTTTCTTGCCATATTACTTCAAGCTTCGAAGTGTTCCATTTTTAAAGCATGTCTAAAAATAGAAGAATCAAGCATGTGATAAAAACACATGAAACCCGGACCCCGTCCGGGTGAACACTATAACATGCAACCAAGTTTTTCAGTTTTTTTAGTTACATAATTGGCCGGAGCGATCATGTAATAATTTTTTCCAAACATTGACGTTTATTAAGTCTCCAGTTTACTGTCCAAAGTCAATATTGCACACATAGGGAGCATATGCTTCAATCTAATCAAAACTCTCCGACTTAAGAATGTGAACTCTTAAGAATTCGCTAAAATCATGAGCTTTGATTGAACAAACCGCGAGTGACTTACAAGGAACATCACATGTATGGACCAGATTTTGTTTGTGTTATTGGTTCTCTTTGTTTTGTTGAGAGAAAAGTGTAACCACCAGGAGTGTAACTGGTTTGCTTTTGAACTTGTAAATCATTGCTCATTGAGCATATACTAATGGAAAATACACACATATTGTATACTCATATGTATGTGGACCCACACGGAATCATAAACTATGCTGTGGTCTTCGTCTTCCTCTTGAAATACTACGTAGTTTTGAAGGCGTTGAAAAGTAAGCATAAAGCACCCATCTAAACTCTGCAAATTAATTCTCTAGTTAATCCACTATCATCTCCTGCTGTTCCAGTTGTCTCTCTCTCCACAAACCCAATTCATTGTTGATCTTCTTTCTCCAGCCATGTCCGATGCTATTATCACCGTAGTCTTGACACAGTTAACTTCGATCATGGAGCGAGAGATTCAACAAGAGGTGAGACTGGTGGTTGGTGTCGACAAAGACATCGAAAAGCTCAAAAAGACACTCCAGGCCATCGTCCATGTGCTTAACGATGCAGACAAGAGACAGATCAAAGAGGAGGCTGTCAAAGACTGGTTGGAGAAGCTCAAAGACGCATCACACGATGTGGATGACTTGTTGGATGAGTGGAACACTGCCATGCTCAAACAACAAATTAACCGAATTCAGAGCCCTCCGATCACCAAGAAGAAGAATAAGGTATTTCCCTTCATCAAATTCTCTTGCTTTAGCTTCAATCAATTGGCTCTTCGACACGATATTGCTGTAAAGATTAAGGGTTTCAACGAAAGACTAGATTTGATTGCCAATGAGAAAGATAAGTACAACTTTAATGTGACTATGGCCGGTGAAGAACCGGAGCGATACAGAACCATTTCTTGTATAGATGTGAAGGAGGTGCGTGGTCGTGAGCAGGATAAGAATACACTTGTAAGCAAGTTGTTGTGCGAGAGTAGTCAAGCTCAAGCTGATGATAGGAGCCTCCATATCATATCTGTTGTGGGTATGGGAGGAATGGGGAAGACAACTCTCGCCCAACTGGCCTACAATTGTGATGAGGTGAAAACTCATTTCGATAGAATAATTTGGGTGTGTGTTTCGGAGCCTTTTGATGAGATTAGGGTTGCCAAAGCCATATATGAGGACATACATGGTTGTGCCCCGAATAATTTTGAATTGAACACTATCCTGCGCCATGTTAGGCACTCAATTGTAGGGAAGAAGTTCCTGCTTGTGCTAGATGATGTGTGGACTGAAGATCCCAAGAAATGGGAACCATTCAGAAACTCTCTAACAAATGGTGGGCGGGGAAGCAAAATTTTGGTGACTACACGCAATGAGAGAGTAGCAAAGATGATGGAAAGTACCGACATTCTTCCCTTGAGGGAATTGTCAGATCAAGATTGTTGGTTTTTATTCAGTCAGATAGCATTTTTTGGAAAAAGCAGAGATGAAAAATTAGAAGAGATCGGTAGGAAAATAGCTGACAAGTGTAAGGGCTTACCTCTTGCTGCAAAGACTATAGGGAGTCTCATGCGCTTCAAAACTACAGCAGAAGAATGGCAGAATGTTTTGAATAGTGAAACATGGGAATTGAAAGAAGCAGAAAAGGGTCTTTTCCCTCCTTTACTATTGAGCTATTACGATTTGACCTCCGCAATGAAACGTTGCTTCTCTTATTGTGCTGTCTTCCCGAAAGATCACAAGATAGAGGCAGACAATTTGATCAAACTTTGGATGGCGCATGGTTATCTCAATACCAAAAAGGAAACTGTAGATATGGAAGTTACAGGCCGGGAGTATTTACAAAATTTAGCAATGCGATCTTTCTTCCAAGACTTGGAAAAAGACAAGAATGGTGATGTTATAATTCGATTCAAGATGCATGATATGGTTCATGATTTTGCAAAATTTCTCACAAAGAATGAATTCTTCATTATGGAGGTCAAAAGTGGAACAGAGTTAAAGATCGACTCAACCTGCAAAGATGCTCGTCATTCAACCTTAGTACGTGTTGAAGAGGCCCCCTTTCCAACTCCAATCTGCAATACAGAAAAACTTCACAGCTTTTGGGTTCAATCTTTTTATGATTCTCCGCCAATTGTTAGTGAAATTGATATAGTCGCACCTGATTCATTCAGTCGTTTGAGGTGTCTTAAATCATTAGATTTGAGTCGTAACAGATTAGATAGACTTCCTCAAGGGGTAGGAGAATTAATAAAATTGAGGTACCTCAACTTATCCCATAATCCATTATCGGAGCTGCCTGAAAAAGTGTGTGATCTATGCAATTTGCAAACGTTGAAGCTTGTTGCTTGTGATCAACTTAGGAGACTACCTCAAGGTATGTGGAAGCTAATAAGCCTGAGACATCTGGAGATTGATCGCACAGATAGTTTACGAATGTTGCCTAAAGGAATTGGGAGTTTGAACTCTCTTCGGACGCTGACCAAGTTTGTTATAGGTGGTGGTGGTGATAGTGAAGAAGCAACATGTAAACTAGCAGATCTGAAAAACTTGAATTTCCTTAAAGGACATCTTAAAATAGAAGGGTTGGGTTATGTAGCAGATGCAGGTGAGGTTGAGAAAGCTGAATTGAAGAACAAAAAAGACCTCCTTGGTTTGCATTTATATTTCAACTCTCCAGTGCCAGCGGGGGGGATGACAGATGTTGAAGCGCTACAATTGCACCCGAATTTGCAATATCTACAGATAAAGTTCTATGTTGGTACTCAGTTCCCCAATTGGCTGATGTCGTTAACCAACCTGCAAGAGCTTTGCCTCCAGGAGTGCCAAAACTGTGTAGGTTTGCCCTACTTGGGGAAACTGCCGGCCCTTGAAAAGCTTCAAATAGAGGGTATGCATAGTTTGAAGTATGCGAGTCTTGAACTTTTAGGAAGAGGGACTGATAATGTTAATCACAATGGAGGCTCAACAATGATGCATGGTGCAATGGCTGCATCATCATCTTCAGTTATTATTCTGTTCCCAAAGTTGAAGAAACTCAAAATCGTCTGCATGAATAGTTGGGAGGAGTGGGATGAGATCAGTGCAAGAGGAGAAGCGCAAGAGGAGATCAAGATAATGCCATATCTCCGATGCTTGAAACTTTCTCACTGCGACAAGCTGAAGGCACTGCCAAACCGCCTCCTCCAGATGGCACCACTAAAAAAATTGCGCATCCACAACTGTACTATTTTGCGGCGAAGATACCAAAAGCTAATCGGAGAGGACTGGAGCAAGATATCTCACATCCGAAAAGTCCGCATTTCATAGGAGTTGGAGGGTGTTTTGTGAAGAATTCAGCAAATGGTTGTTCATCACTTCTCTGGTCCTGCGACTTCATCATTATCCAGTTGAGCAGTATCTCAGTCAGTCAAATAGAATTGTTCACAACATGTTAGTCAATGCTGCTGCTAGTTTGTCTACACCAATACTTGTATCTCCAGTCGCGAGCTGAAGCTGCAAATGTGCTATGCTTTTCTGGTAAACTCTATTTTCTAATTCTATTGATTTTGTCTTGATTAGTCACATAATGCAATTTTGGTTGTGCTTCAATCTTTTTGCTCTAGTAACATATACTCTGCGATTTCCCTTTTATTTTTCCTACGCTTTGTTGTTTTGATTTTTGTCTTTCCAATCAGGATACCCAAATCACTGTAAGACCAAAGCTCCATATAACACCTTTTCGTGTGTCAGATTGCATATATGTCTTCCAAGACTTGACATGCAAACAACCCTTCCTTTTGCAAAGGAACAGAATCGTAGTTTCATAACAGCATTTACGTCAAACGATTGGTCACTCTTGTCTTTTTAGAGCACTTGGTAGATATCTTGATTATGAATGTATGGTAGTGAAATAATATTAATTGAAAAAAATGAGGGGAGTTGCATATTTTTCCTATAACTGGTCTATAGTTCTATGTGTAGGGTGAACTGTCACCACTGCCACAGAAATAAGAAATCACATGTAGGCATGAAGCAGCAGCCCACAGGTCAGTCATGGTGCAGCAGCCTGGCCAGGTGTTTGTTAACGGCAAGAGCTGCCCTAATTAAGGTATATATAGAGCTAGAGGGAGGTTTTCTATCAGCAAGTTCACTTGTGTGTTCCAAACTAATGATTTATTTTTTTCTTACTACATTGCCAAACATTTTTCTTTATGTTGCGTGAGATGAACGATATTTCCAGCTTCTGGTTTTTGATTGTCCTTGTTCCAGATGTAATTTGTATTCAGATAGAAGTTTGCTACAATCAGAAACTTTTTCTCTAAAGAATCTACATTAAATTTAGGGCAAATTTCACAAAACTCCCAATACTATTACTTTTTGATCAAATAACCTCGACTTACTTTAGAAAACCCCCAACACTATGAAATTTGATCACATTGCCTCAATTTTGCTGTTAAATGATGAAATTAACCTTCTGATATACCAATTTATTTGAAAAGCAAAAATCAATATTTTACAAATTACAGAAATAACCTTAGTGAAATTTGCATATATATATATATATATAGTCAAACTAACACATTATATATATATATATATATATTTTTTTTTTTTTTCTTTTTTCCATCTCCATTACATCCGGCGATTACAGCGCCACCACCGGTGACCACCGCAGCACCACCATCCCCATCTTCGTAATTGCCACCACCATTCCCAACCCACAACCACTAGCGGCCAAGTGAAGGCTTGTATCACAAAATTCTCAACCACCGTCATTTGGTTTCAGATTTCTGATTCCTCGAAATTGTTTTCTCCCCAGTTCTGATTTCAATTGGAATTCTTTTTCTTTCTCTTCCTCGATTATGACTCATCCAAACGACATAAAAGAAATTCAATTCCACCAACGCACAACGAACCCGTGATTCATCATCACCAGAGGAAGATTGCAAATGGGTCTCACGCGAACAACACCCATAGTCCAAACCCGAAACTGGTTTGGGTTTGGATTTGGATCCAAATCTGTTTTACGCCGATTCGTTTGTTGAATGGAACTTGAGAGCACCATTGGAGGTCATATACAAAGAGTGCAAAGGTGAAGACGAAGAAGGATAAGGAAACGACGACGTTCCGGTCGAGAAAAGAGAGAGACGTGAAATGGGTATCTAGAGATACCCTTTGTTGTGGCTGTATTATCCGGAATCTACATCGGAGACGACTGAGGCTTTTTTGATTCTGTCCAGTAGTTGCTCTAGTGTAATTTCCAGCGTGCGAACCTGCAACAATGTCACACGAATGGGGAAGAGAGAGGCTTTGGCTCGTGATCTGAAGAGGAAGCAAATCGGCTCGGCTCTCTCGCACCATCGAGCCAAAGCCATCTTGAAGCTCTTATCTGATGGTTGTGCTTCTGAAGTGAAGATTCGTCAATTGCTCCGGTGACAGCCCAGACACCAGTAAAGCGTTGAGAATGTGATCTCTTTCTCTCTTTAGAATTCATAACTTGGATGATCCAATCTAGTGCTTTTATTGTAAAAGTGATCAGTATGGTTGGATGATCACACCCGTAGATTATATTAGAAAAGTAATACAAACTGGATCAACGGTGGTGGTTGCTGTAAAATATGGTATATGTAATGTTATTTGCGGATTAATATATAAAAGGGTAAAATAGGTTTGAATAAAACAACTGCGTTTTTTACTTTTTAAATCGATTGGTATATCAGAAGGGTGCTTTCGTCATTTAATCATAGACATGGTGTAATGTGATCAAATTTCATAGTGTTGGAGGTTTTCTAAAGTAGGTTGGGGGTATTTGATCAAAAGTGATAGTATTGGGGGTTTCGTGAAATTTGCCCTTAAATTTATTTTAATTAGATTCAAGTTCCTTTTGTCTCTTTTGTATGCACAGTGTTGTCTGTTTGCATACCAGAATCCGTAAATATAACTTGGGGGAAAAAAAATCTGTAAATGTTATTGTTAGATTAATAATTTCCTCGACAATTTCCTGCTAGGTATTTAAGAAAAGTCTTAAATCTTTAAAATATGACTGGTTAGAAGTTTCTGAAGCCCTCGAATTTATTCATACAGAGATGGACTTCTGACTTGTTATTTGTCCGTATTTGCAAAAAAGAAACTTCTAACCAGTGAAAGTGATTTGTCATGCCTTACTAAAACAATTTTTTTAACCTTGTCAATTGCCTTTCCAAGTAGTTGTTTGAATCCTCTAATTTGCACTCATATCCGAGCGTGAGAGCCCAGCTGAGTGAAGTTAGGTATTATATTATTTCTTAACATTCAACTTGTTCATGGTATTCCTAATGTCTACCCAGGTTGTGATTAGGAGAGGTCAAAGCATTGCTCAGGCTGCGGGATCACATCAGCAGTCCTACCCTCCACTTATCCTCGCGGTCATTCATGGATCCCTGTCACTAGGCAGCTAGTTCAAAATAAAAGAAGAGGTGAACTCTCAACATCTCCCTCTGAAGCAGCATTTCTGTGTGGATCCCAAGAAAGTTGCAAGTAGTTTTGGATCGTGGGACTTCCCATACATTCAACTGAAGAAATAATGTGGAATTCATAAGTTCTGAGTGTTGTTTCTCTGTTGAAACGCGTCCTCCTGCTGAGATGGAGGCTTATCTTGACAATATTATGGACTCGATGGGGCCACATTAATAGTCTTAAGACCACATGACTGAAATTGAGTCATAACAACTTGAGCGTGAACTTTTCAATGACATGGAGGGTGAGGAAGCTAATGTGGAAAAGCAAATAAGATTAGCAGCAGCAGTCATTGGAGAGCTAGGTATGAGCTAGATTTCTCTCTCACATAAGGATAATAAATATTCTTATGTGTTTTTTTTTCTTCCCTTACCTCAAGGTCACTGTATAATAAGCAGTGCTTTTGCAAATCATCACTTCATGCCAGGTTATACGGGATGGAGAAGCTGATTGGTGAACTTTAGAGGAAAGAAGCTTCTAATGGTCGTCATTGTTGTCGAACTGTAGCCCTCAACTGCCATTGTTGACAGTTGAAGCATGGGAATGGAACCCTTCCGGGTGTAATGCTTCGGGTGGAGCCCCTCAAAATCATGGTTCTAAGTAAATAATTTCTTTTGTTGTTCAGTCAAATATGTTCATGTCTCATCTCAAGCAACCTTATTCCCTTTTGATTTATGATGCTAGGAGTCGATTTCATATGCTATTTTTGTTTTCTTGAGTTGGATATGTTTTTCTTGGTGATCCAATCCAGAGATGAATGTCACATAATTGTATTTGTGCGGGCAAGAAATGTGATTTTAAACTATCTGAATTTCTGGTAGTGCTTTGCTGAATCAGACTCTCACGAGTCGCAACATAATAAATTCACACGTGCATCCACATAAACGTAAAAAGACACTATTGAATCGGACATATTTGCAGAGGACCTAAAAATGTTAGAAAGTACATCATAAATAACAATAGCATCAGAGTATTGAGCCGATGATCACATAAATAATAATATGCATAAATAATAATTTTCTTGGAATCAGCAAATTACAGAAATTAAACATAATTTCAAATCCAGATTTAGAGACATGTAATCATTTCTTGAAGATAGTTAATAACCTCTTTAGGTGCAATTAGGTACATTAATATGGTATCACTCTCTTTGAGATTCAACTCACAGCTAGATTTAACAAATTATATGTTCATAAAGTAGCGCTCTCTGTGAAATTTGTATTCATCTCTTGAAAATTTCAAAGAAAACCTTTTATTTTCCCTGAAAATTTCATATATTAAAAAGTGTAAAAGTCAGAAATGTTATCAAAATTGAACATTTTACTACATTGGAATTCCTAAAATTTCAAAATAAATTGGTAATTAAGCAATCCATTTCCTTAGGTGTCATAGCAGAGGAAACTGATTTTATAAAAAATATATATAATTTGAACCACATACCAAACACTAAATGCAGGCAGCCTTTACAGAGTACAGATGTACAGGGGATACTCCCCTAATCATACTTCCTGTATTTGATTTCGAGCCCGTGACCTTCATGGACAATCTTACCGTTATTCTAAGGCGCACACTAACCATTGCTGCCTAACTGTTTGCAACATATTTTATTGTACTAATGAACAGAAATGAAGAAATTCCTAAGGAGACTTTTAGAAATATAATTGTTTTTGGGACATATATATATAACATATTGCAACATGAATATATGGATGGTCATGAAAAATCACAATTTAATCTTGATTTGGACTCAACTCGACTATATATGACTCAGAATATTATACATACATCTATTGGAAACATTACAAAGTATAATATGGTCCAGTAGCTCATCAATTATGATTTTTACATCCCAATCAAGGTGGTTCCTAATAATGCCTCCTTGATTGGTGACTATAAATGCTCAAATTAATTAAGAATCTCAGTAGCAACATTAACATATTTCCATCTTCATTAATGTTCTCTTTTTGTTAGATCAAGCTTTCAAGCATGTGGGTCATATGGAACTTGATGAGAAAGACTCTGTAACAACATCAACCATAGTCCTCATCATTTGTCATAATCCATATATTAGATTCTAATTAAGAGTTGTTTATATAAGGCAAATCATGTTGAAAAGTCCTAAAAGACTACGAATTTATAATGTTACTATTTTGAAATGCGCTTAAACAAGACAAAGCCAAGATTAAACAAATCAAATCGAGGATTTCAAATTTAAATTTATTTAAGAACTAAAGTATTCATAGGATTGATGTTCATATTAGTGACATAAGTTTATGCTAGCGGTCAAATTTTCTAACCCAACTCTTCTCCTTTATCCGAACTTGAAACTGGTGTTTAGTTGTCGTAAAATATTTATAAAGAAAAAAATATTAAAATTTAACAAAAATAACTTATCTATCAATTTTCAGCAAATTATTTTATATGCCCCGCCTTTCTTCAAATCTTCTTTTTCTGTAGCAAAAGTTCCCCGAGTTTTCAAAAAATAAGCTCTATGGGGATTTCCATCCCTTATAACAGCAGAGGAGGCTTGCTGAACGAGTAGTTGAAGAAGGCGAGACGAGAGAGGAGAGCGAGGGTCAAGTCAACCGCTGTTGACCACAGAGCCATCTCGAATGGCCTTGCAGCTTTAAAATCGGATCTCGCTGACTAGAGCGAATCAAACCTTGTCTGAGCAGAGTTCAGATTCTGCGGCTCATTCTCTGCCTGATGGATTTGACCTCAACGTCAACGTAATTATTTGCTAAACACCAACATAGTAAAAATAAAAGAATATTTTACCTGAAAAAAAAATATTTTTTTTAAAAAAATATTTTACGTCGAAACAAATGGAGCCTCAACGTAAAATATTTTTCTCAAAATATTTTTTTTTTCAAGTAAAATATATATTTTTTATTTTTATTTTTTCGTGTTTAGCAAAGGTTTAAGTCGAGCTTGAGGTCAAGTTCATCAAGTGAAGCGTGTAAAATACCTTGCTGAAAATTGATGAATAAGTTATTTTTATTAGATTTTAATATTTTTTTTCGTAAATATTTTATGATAACCAGATACAAAAAATAAAATAAAAAATTTTTGAAAAATATTTTACTCAAATAAACGAACCCTTAGGCTCCGTTTGTTTCTACTTAAAATAATTTTTTGGGAAAAAATATATTTTTTTCAAGTAAAATAATTTTTATTTTTACTTTTTCGGTATTTGACAAAGGTTTACGTCGACGTCGAGATTGAGATTGAGGTTGAGGTTGAGATTGAGATTGAGCCCATTGGACTAGACATGTATGTTGACCTAAGACCAATTTTGACGATCACAAAACATTAATTGTGTTTTAAGAACTAACATTTGCCTTAAGAACAGGTTAGTCATTGAAAGTCTAAAAGTGAAGTGGAAAACTAAAGTCAAGCAAGATACATTCTTTGTGCTCCAAAGACAAAAGAAAACAAGTCATTCACTTCCAAACTCCAAAAATGAAACACGGAAAAGAAATCAAGGTTGACAGTTCAAATGGGGTAGATAAGTTTGGTAAGCATCATAGAATCAAATGTTAAAGTATTTTATGAACGCGATGAAGCTCATATCCTAGAATCATTCATTTATCATATCATGATTTGAATGGCATTATATACTGTCCAAAATTTATTTAAAAGCCTAGATACAAAGAAGAAAAATGGAGGATCACATTTAAAATCCATAACAGTGAGTTGGTTTTGGCCAAGAGACATTTCGGCCGACTAAACATGATGCTTCAGCCGATTGATGGGGATCAACCGGCTGACGAGAGGGTTTCAGCCGACCGATGCATAGTCAATTTCAAATCAAATGGCTACCTGCGAACTTGGATTATTGACACCTCATCTCCAACAGCTATATTGACCTTCATTCTCTATAAATAGGAGCTGCAGCTTGTGTTACAAAGAGACACCCATTAGAGAGTAATTTGAAGAGCATTCAAGAATTTCATTCTAGAGCATTCAAGGCAATCATTTGATCACTCATTCCATATCTCTTATTCTCTCATATCATATTAGAGATTTGAGCTTCATTTCATTCATATACTTACTCTAGTTGTGAGCCTACAATTGTAAATCTATCTTGAGAGAGAGATTCAATCTTGTATTTCATTTACATACTTTACTACAAAGTTGTAAGGGTTGGTGTGACCCAAAAGAAGCCTAGGAGAAGGGTGTTTTCCTAGCAAGAAAGAGAAGCAAGGTGTAATACCCCGATATTTTAAAAAGGATTTATTAATTAAATTAATTTATATTATATTATTATTATTATTTTTAAGTGATTTGTTTTATTTAATTAGGTGCTTGATAGTTGTGATTTGTTTTATTTAATTAAGTGCGTAGGTAAATTGTATTGTTTTAATTAAATTATATATTTTGTAATTTTAATTGTTAAATTTATATGGTGTTTGATTTGTGGAATGCTAGTTAGTGAAATGTTTATTTGATTTGCGTGATTTTATGTTGGTGTAACTTTATTGTTAATTATTGGTAGCTATTAAATTTAATTTCATTATTTTAGGTATTTAAGTTATTTGTATTGGGATTAAAGGAAGTTGGACCAACGGATGTGGTATTGGGCTTGAAGGAAGCCTTGTTGGGTTAATGGGTAAAGGCCCGTGGTTGTGAGGATATTTAATAATTATCTTTGCATAATTATACCTATATAATTACATGTGTATATTAATTCATTATTAAATCATGTGGAGGGGTATATATGTCAATATAATTATATATTGATATATATAGGTATATATAATTTATTTAACTAATGGTTATATATGGAAGGTAATATATATATGTTTATAGTAAAATATATGTATGTATATATATTATTTAAAAGATAAATATTATTTATTTTATATGATAATCCTAATGGGAAAAGGATTTAGTTTTTGTATGTATATAAATAGACACATAAGACTCTAGGGTTAGGAGTTTTTCCACGTTAGAAAAATAAGAGAATTAGAGAGAGAAGAAGAAGGGCTAACGAAGAGGAGGCCGGATCAAAGAACGTAAGAGGAGACCGGATTTGGAAAGGAAAAGGCGAGTTCTTCTCTACTTCTCCTCTTAGAACTCATAAGCTTATCACCTTAATTATCGAAATTTTAATTTTAACTTATTAAATCAAATTGTTAATCAGTGTAGATCAGCATGTTTATTCTTTACAAAATTGGAAATTTAAGCATGTGAATATATGTATGAATTGTTCTGAATATTTAAATATTGTATGTGGGGTTAGGTTAATTAAATTTTATTTCTGAAATTTTTTATAGTTTGCTTTAACCTTGTGTGGTATGATGAATTAAATTAAATAGATCTTAATTTAATTATATATGTTTAATTATGCCCAAAATAATAAATAAAGCTTTTGGAATTTTTCTAGGATTTTCTGGAAATTTTCTAGAATTAATTTATATTTTGAATGTTATTTTAGAGATTGTTTTATTATATACTGTTATATATATATAAATATTTGTAGTATAAACAACATACTGGGGTTGGATTTGCAAATCGGTGCATCATCAAAGGCGTAAAATCCAGTGTGTCGCGGTCCATGGTAGTATGGTGAGCCGCAGATCAGCACCATGGATGCTGCTCGATCTAAGGAAGATGAATCCAGTGTGTACGGCATATTATAAGGTTGTGTGAAAACTAATCCAGTGGCTGAGAAGAGTTGATGGAAGGGCGGTTGATTCAGTGCTTCGCGGCACATGATGGGCTGGTACACGTTAGCATCTGGACCATAGATATGGTCCAGCCAACTAAAAATGATCTGGTGCGAGCAAGTGCACCAGAACGCAGAAGGGCAACCAATAGGGACAAGCCACACACGTGCTGAGAGTGTAACCGACGCGTGAGGGCGCGTGCAGGCGCGTGGACGCGCCTGCCGGTAAGGGGAGGCGCGTGGGAGTAGTCTAGGGCTATGTGGTGGCGCGTGAAGGCGCGTGGGGATGCGTGTGAGGTCCTGGAAAGTTGCTTGAGACTCCGGTGAAGTTCCAGTATTTATCTTAAGCTTGTTAGGGTTAAAATTAATCATTAGAGGGTGTGTTCTTGATATTTTGAGAGCCTCAGAGTGTTACTAAGATACCTAGTAGCATTTAGTGGTATAAATATAATTAATTAAATATTTTTGCAATGAAAGGAGGTGTATATATGTGTATATATATGTAGATATGATTTTAAATAGTCAACGATTGGTATGGAATGTATGATACACACATATATATATATTACAAAATATATGTGTATATATATATTATTTAAGATTATTAAATATTATAAATCTTGTTTGGTATGACTTGATTCGTGTATGGTATGGTTGATTTAAAATCGTAATAGATACACGGTTATTAAATTAAGGACATGCTTATTATATGCATGTGAAGTCTATGTATAATTATACCTAGAGTTAAGTTTAAAATTAATACATGGTTGAATTGTAGGCATGGATGAGTTGCCAAAGGCTTTGATATACTGCCTTATTGGTTATGAATAAATTTCATATATGGGAAGCATGGTTGAATTGCTAATTAATTGTAAAAGTAAATATATTGAAGAAAGCATGGTTGAATTGCTAGTATATAAATAAATATATTTATAAATGGTATGGTTGATTTGCCGGTGCATATTTAAATTGCTATATGTGTAGATGACTAAATTACTGTTTAGGATGGAGTTAAGGTGAGTGGGGTTTACTTTATGAGAAAATTATAAAAGGGGGGGCTTGGTCTAGGTATGACTAATAATTAATTATTGGTGAGTGGTTTTGACAATTTAATGCCCTATTAACTGGTAGGATTCTTGCACTATATATATAAGTATTTATATATATTTGTAGCATCGTATATTAAAGTTAAAGCTTAATTAGGGATGGTTTTGGTAAAGATGATCTGTTTATTGGTTTTCAGAGGCTTGGTAGAGAGAACTTGCTCGTAGGGTTTAACCCGCGATTTATTTTTCAGGTTGTAGAAGGTCAAGTCTTAAGGTTGAGGATCCGCAGCTGGAGGACTTATCCATTCCTTCTATTTACTTAAAAGTAGGATATTAGTTTTGTTTCAGTTGATATTAGTACTTAATTGGTTGAAATTCTAAATAGTAACTTTTGGTTAAGGGATCCTTGAGTTACGGGATTCCCGAGTTGTAATCATTTGGAAGTTATTAATGGATTTACTATTAATTGGATTTCTTCAGCGTTTTATTTTATTCTTTATTTCATTTTGTAATCCGTGCTTGTTTAAATACTTTAATTGTTTTGATATTCCCTGATTTTGTGCGCGGACTTGATCAACCCGTGTTCCGAAATTAGGGGGTATTACACAAGGGCTTGTTTCATGCAAATGTTTGCTCTCCACCACAAAGGAGAAGTTCTAGTGGATTGAGAAGTCTCAAGAGGGATCTTGAGCCGAGGAGTAGGAGTTTCCGAACCTCACTAAAAATCTCCGTGTTATTATTTGAAATTTCTTATCCCTATCTCTCTTACATTTATGCTTTGAATTATTATATATTTTAATTGATTATTGCATAATTGTTTATCTTTACTTGAAATTGTAAATTATTTTTTGTTAAAATTGGCCATTGACTCTATTCACCCCCCTCCAGAGTCAATTAGTGTCTAACAATTAGTATCAGAGCCTAATCTCTAGTTAAAGACCTAATCATCTTAGAGAATGATCATGGCCAATTTTCATCAAAAAGGTCAATCTAACAATAGACCTCCTTGGTTTGATGGAAGTGATTATAATTATTGGAAAATAAAAATGAGAGCATTTCTAAGAAGTTTAGACATCGATGCTTGGAAAGCCACCGAACAAGGTGATCACATTCCAACCAAAGTTGTTGATGGTCAAAGAGTTCCAAAAATCGATGATGAGTGGACTCAAAATGAGCGTAGGCTTGTTCAATGTAATGTCATAGCTATCACAAATCTCTATTGTGCTCTAAGCAAAGACGACTTCAATAGAGTTTCAGATTGTGAAACGGCCAAAGAGATTTGGGATAAACTTGAAAGGGTAATTTACACAGACCTCCCCTATGGTTTGCCATAATTACAGGCGGCACCCTTCTTGTTTCGAAAATTACGCGGACCTCCCCTACTTTTTAAAATATCCTACACGGACCTCCCTTATCTGTGACGGACCGTTAAATCCACTAACAGAGCTGTTGAAATTACTAAAATACCCTCACATTGTTACCTTAAATTACTAAAATACCCATAAGCTTATATATATATATTGTTTTCCAGTTAGAAATCCTCTTCTCGTTTCAAGACTTCACCTGTCCGATGACCATATTTTTGGCCGGAAAATTGTTCGTCTGATCACGGCCGTTCTCTTGAAACCTCACAGGACGACTTCGCTTTCACCTGCGGGTACGCATTAAGCTGGGGTTGGAGTTACGGTTAGGGTAAGGTTTGAAGCTCGGCCATGTCTAATAGGACCAATTGTGATTGTAATCGCCACCGTTGATGGCGTACTGGACTTTCACTCTACAAATCCACCCTTTAATTTACAACCTCTGTAAATCCTGGATCTGATTCAGAGCATCCACAAACAGGAAGTCCATATGGTTCGGTGGCGCCACCGCTGACCGTGGCATTGATGATTGTACCGGAACGAAATTTATAGCATCCACAAACTGTTCCCTATCTTAATTCCCCTAATTCGATGATTTCAGGCGATGAGATGATAGAGAGGTGAGGTTGTGTTTTTTTTATGAAGCTATTAGCTATGCTGGTGGATTTGGAAGGGTTCTGGGTCTACGCAGCAGTATACCGGCGGTGACTACAAGGACGCCGGAGCCGGCAATGGCGATGAGAACCATCGAGTCGGAGTCGTAGAGCTTGACTCGGTATGGTGCTGTTTCTGATGTTTGCAATACAACAATAGATCAGTGGAGGATTTTTTTTTTTTTTTTTTTTTCCCTATCCTTATTTTAATGAAGTTTAAAAAACTTGCACCTTCATACTTTTCAATCCGAATTCCATAAATTTTTTACATCAAGGTTAGAATGAATATGTGTAGTAGATCATACTAGTTGACAGAGACCATATCCTCTGTCATTGTAATGGGCAAAATCAAAATCCACCCCTAATTCTCCATCGCATCATTAGCTACCACCAAACTCTGCCATGACTAGCTTGGATCATATGGAACTCTTGCTTTCAAAGATGTAAGGGAGCAAATGATGGTAAATTCACAGTATGTTCAGTATGTATATATATATCATGATTATCATCTTTAATTTTGTAGGATTGAGAGTCAAAGAAAGTTGGGGTAACAGAGAGTTTGGGTATTGCACTTATGGTGGGTATAAGTAGACGGAACTGGAGAGGAATGTTTATTTGTGTAGCAATGGTGTTCAATGAAGGATTCTACAGGCTGGAATTTAATTGGTGAAGGCTTGATATATATATATATATATATATATATATATATATATAATATCATTTAAATATAATATTTATTTAATTATATAGACAAGGGTATTTTAGGAATTTTAATAAAAATAGTAGCTGACGTCATCAATTTTCATCGTTGACTAGCGTTGACCGTAATGAAAGAGAGGTCCGTGTAGGATATTTTAAAAAGTAGGGGAGGTCCGCGTAATTTCCGGAATAGGAAGGGTGCCGCCTGTAAGTATGGCAAACCACAGGGAAGGTTTGTGTAAATTACCCAACTTGAAATTACATATGTTGGCGCAAGTCATGTTAAGGAATCTAAAATGAACATGCTTGTCCATAAATATGAATTATTTACCATGAATAACAAAGAAACAATTAGTGAAATGTATACTCGGTTTATTAACATTGTCAATCCTTTGAAGGTTCTTGGAAAGTCATATATATCATCCGAAAATGTGAGAAAAATTCTTAGATCTTTGCCTAAGAATTGGGAAGCTAAGAAGACCGCTATTCAAGAAGCTAAAAATCTCAACACACTTCCTATTGATGAGCTCATTGGTTCTTTGATGACATATGAGCTAGAGATGAATGATGGAGATGACAACAAAGAAACTCACAAGAAAAATCTAGCTCTTCAAGCCACTACCAAGGAGGTTGAAGTTGAGAAAGCTCTCGATAATGAAGAAGAGGAAGAAATTGCACTCATCACCAAAACCGTGAGAAGAGTTCTTCAAATGAAGAGTACTAAAAGAGCAACAATCTCAAAAGAAGTGGTTCCACAAGTGAACAAGGAAAAAGAAAAGCACCTATTTGTTTTCATTGTGGAAAACCGGGGCATTTCAAATCGGATTGCTATGCATACAAAAATGAAAAGGAACGGAAAAAGAAAACCCAAGCCATGCATGCTACATGGGAGGATGATGATTCAAATGGATCCGAAAGTGATGATGAACTCAATGAATTGGTCAATCTTTGCCTTATGACCGATGAAGATGAGATAAACTCTAACCATGACTCATTTGATTTAGAAATTACTTATGATGAATTAGTTGATACTCACAATTACTTGGTTGATGCTTTTAAAGAATTGCTTGATAAATTAGGCAAGATGGTTCAAAAGTGTGCTAGTCTTAAAAGAGAAAACAACATTATCTCTCAAAAACTTGAAAAATCTCTTCTTGAAAATGAAACATTGAAAAAGGAAAAAGAATGTGAATTAGATAAAGAATTAGCATCTATTGATTTAATTTCTGAAAATAAGTCCTTGAAAGTCATAATTGAAGATCAAATTGTGACTTTAGCCAAGTTCACAAAAAGTAGAGATAATTTAAGTCTTATGCTTGGTAAGCAAAGAAATGCTTATACTAAGGATGGGCTTGGATATGATTCTCACAACAAAGATTCTTGTTTAATAAAAAGGTGAAAACCTTTGAGCGACTATTTTGTTAAAAATTTCTCTCAAAGTCCAAAATGTAATTATTGTAAAAGGTTAGGACACAAAATTAATCATTGTCCCATAAGGCTATGCAAGACAAAATAAATTTGGGCTATTAAAGGAACATATATGCCTCTTCCTAACTCCCATGGACCCAAGAAAATATGGGTACCAAAAGAAGATTACTCAAATTCCTTTTGTAAGTTTGCTTGAAGATTTCATCATCATCCAAGGACAAGTGGTTCCTTGATAGTGGGTGCTCAAGACATATGACGGGGGACCATTCAAAATTTCTCTCTATCGAGCCTCACAAAGGAGGAAGCGTAACATTTGGAGACAACTCAAAAGGCAAGGTTATTGGCATTGGATCTATTGGTATCTCTTCTTCCTTATCTATTGATGATGTGTTACTTGTTAAAGACTTAAAACATAACTTGCTTAGCATTAGTCAGCTATGTGATAAAGGTTATGATGTGCTTTTTAAATCGAATAAATGCATTGTTAAAAAGAATAACAATGAAGTGTTTCATGCTCTTAGAAATGGTAATGTGTATACTTTACTTTTATGTGAATTGCATGATCAAGATGTAAGTGCCTCGTATCTTCAAATGAAAATAGTTGGTTGTGGCATAGAAGGTTAGGTCATGCTAGTATGGAATTAATTTCAAAATTATCTAAGCATGAGTTAGTCAAAGGCCTCCCAAAGACTAACTTTTCAAAAGATAAAACTTGTAGTGCATGCCAAATAGGCAAGCAAATCAAGTCATCATTCAAAAGAAAAAAAAAAACATAACAACTATGAGACCTCTTGAATTAATTCATATGGACTTATTTGGTCCGGAAAGAGTAGCTAGTCTTGGTGGAAAACTCTATACTTTTGTAATTGTTGATGACTACTCTAGATTCACTTGAGTATTTTTCCTTTCACATAAAAATGAGACTTACACAACTTTCTCTAAATTTTGTAAAAGAATCAAAAATGAAAAGAAGTATAGGATTAAAACCATTAGAAGTGATAGAGGTAGAGAATTTGACAACCAAGACGTTGAAAGGTTTTGTGATGAAAATGGATATAATCATAATCTTTCGGCTTCTAGAACTCTTCAACAAAATGGAGTTGTTGAAAGGAAAAATAGGTCTCTCCAAGAAATGGCTAGAACTATGTTAAATAAACATAAGTCACCTAGATCTCTATGGGCCGAAGCCATTAGTACATCATGCTATGTCATAAATAGAGTCATCATTAGAAAACTTCTCAATAAAACTCCTTATGAACTTTGAAACAAAAGGAAGCCAAACATTGGTTATTTCAAGGTTTTCAGGTGTAAATGTTTTGTGTTAAATGATAAAGATAATCTAGGAAAATTTGAACCTAAATCGGATGAAGGTATTTTCTTAGGATATTCTTCTCGTAGCAAAGCATTTAGAGTGTTCAACAAAAGAACACTTATTGTTGTTGAATCCATACATGTTGTATTCGATGAGTCACAATTGCCCCCTCCTACTTGTTCATTGAATGATGATGAGGATATAATTGAGATTGAAAAGAATTTTGAGAATCTTGATCCATACAATTCACCTCTTGAAGATCTCCCCAAAGATGATCCAAAAGAAAGTCATCCTCATAAAGACACACTCCCTAAGGATTAGAAGTAAGTGCCTAATCATCCAATAAATCAAATTATTGGCGATCCATCCAAAGGAGTAAGTACTAGATCCAAAATTGGTGATATATGCAATTATGTGGCTTTTGTTTCCCAACTTGAACAAAAAAATATTCATAAAGCCGAAAATGATAAACCTTGGATCTTCGCCATGCAAGAACTTAACCAATTTGGGAGAAATAAAGTTTGGGAATTGGTCCCAAGACCTAAAGATAAGACTATCATTGGAACAAAATGGGTATTTAGGAACAAAAAGGATGAATCGGGAACAATTGTGAGAAACAAGGCTAGACTTGTTGCTCAAGGGTATAACCAAGAAGAAGGAATTGACTATGATGAAACCTTTGCTCCCGTAGCTAGGCTTGAAGCCATTAGAATGCTCCTCGCCTTTGCATCCCACAAAAACTTTAAGCTATATCAAATGGATGTAAAAAGTGCCTTCTTAAATGGCTTCATTGAGGAAGAAGTGCATGTAGAACAACCACCGGGATTTGAAAGCTATGATAATCCTAACTATGTCTATAAATTGTCAAAAGCATTGTATGGTTTGAAGCAAGCTCCAAAAGTTTGGTATGAAAGACTGAGTGGATTTCTACTTGAAAATGGTTTTATTAGAGGAAAAATTGACAACACTCTTTTTACTAAAATCATTGATGGCAACCTATTAATTATTTAAATATACGTTGATGATATTATTTTTGGATCATCCAATAGTGTACTTTGTGAAAAGTTCTCTTCTAGCATGCAAAATGAGTTTGAAATGAGCATGATAGGTGAACTTACTTTCTTTCTAGGATTGCAAATCAAACAAGCACTTGATGACATTTTCATTTGTCAATCCAAGTATGTTAAAGATTTGCTAAAGAAATTTGGCTTGAAGGAAGTCAAACATGCCAAAACTCTCATGAGTTCATCTTTGAAACTTGATAAAGATGAGAAAGGCAAATATGTTGATATCAAAAAGTATAGAGGCATGAATGGTAGTCTTTTATATTTAACCGTAAGTAGACCGGACATAATGTTTAGTGTATGCTTATGTGCTAGATTCCAATCTTGTCCTAAAGAATCTCATTTGTGTGCCGTTAAACGTATTTTTCGCTACTTATGTGGTACAATAAATTTGGGTCTTTGGTTTCCTAGAAATACTTCTTTCAATCTCATTAGCTATTCGGATGCCGACTTTGCCAGATGTAGAGTTGATAGAAAAAGTACTAGTGGCACTTGTCACTTTCTAGGTCAATCACTAGTATCTTTGTCTTGCAAAAAGCAAAATTCCGTGGCTTTGTCAACGGTGAAAGCCGAATATGTGGCAGCCGAAACTAGTTGTGTCCAAACGCTTTACATTAAGCAACAACTTGAAGACTTCAGACTTAAATTTGACACATTCCCATAAAATGTGATAATACGAGTGCTATTTGTATTTTAAAGAATCCTATTTTGCACTCAAGAACGAAACACATTGAGATACGATATCACTTCATTAGAGATAATGTTTCAAAGGGCGACATTGAATTAGTCTTTATAAGCACCGATAAGCAACTAGCGGATATTTTTACCAAACCCCTTCAAGAGGATACTTTTTGCTTCATCAAAAAAGAGCTTGGAATGGCATATGAGGAGGATGTCCTTTCCAGCAGCTAAAATTGTGATAGAAGGTATTTCGGCCGAGGAGGATGTCCTTTCCAGCAGCTAAAATTGTGATAAAAGGTATTTCGGCCGGCCGAAAATCACTTATCAGTTGACCGAAATACACAGGTTTGGCCAACCGACGTTGTCTTGTCAGCCGACCGAAAGTTAGATCTGTGAATTTAATTAGGGTTTCAAGCCTCTCTTTGGTCATTTCATTTTAGGGTTTCTCTTCCTATTTTCACCTCTGGTCTCTCTCTCCCAAGTCTCTCCATCTTCACGACTAATTCATTCCTTCCAATTGGATCACACACTAAATCTTAATCTCATTGTCAAAATCATCCTCGTTGGTAAGTTCATCTCTCCATAATCATCTTCTCACTTTCGTAATCCACTATATTTATATGAACATATCTGTCATGCACAAATTCTAAGTTGATTTTGTGGGTTGATGTTATGAAATCCTAATCTCATCCTATGTGCTCATCTTAGGGTTTCCATTTATCTTAATCTCATATTTGCAAAACCCTAATCTCATTCTGTTAAAGTTTCCTTTTGCGCAAACCAGAAATCGAATTAGGGGTTCATCGTGTCCTTCTAAAATTATTCAATTGTGGGTATCATGTAGGTCTAAATCAACCTTGGGATTTCAACATTGTTGTAATTTCAATCATGTTGTAATTTTATTCTGCAAAACCCTAGATTTCACTGTGCTTAAGATTTGGTGATTTCCAAATCTCAGTATTCATTGTGTTATCCTTAAGTCTGATTTGTGCAAAACTTCGTGGGTTTGCATTGGATTTGATTTTGCCGTATTTTCATCTTATCAGAACCCTAAAATTCCATTAAGGCATGTTCAGTGTTATTATTGGGGTTTTTATCCTATGAAATTAAGGTTTTCATTCATTCACTCTTTCAAACTTTTCTAAAAACTTCTGTGATTGACTGTATCTACTTGTTTATTCTCTATCAAAATTTATTTAGGCATTTAAATCATTTTTAGATCAATTTGATGTAGGATTTCTATCAAAATTGATCTGTGTTTGGGATTCTCTATTGATTAAAAAAATAATAATAATAAAAAAAATGGAATTTTCCAAAACCTCAAATCATGTCATCTTCTGAGCCTAGGAAAAACCCCGTTCGCTTTCAAAACAAACGAAAGAAAACTAGCCATACTAAACAAGCCGAGGCTAGCAATGTCGAGCCCCTGCCAGTTTCCAACCTTGCTCTTTTTAAGAATCCAACCATTAAAAATCTATTTGACACTAAGTTCCTTCATAGAAAAGTTACTTTCGGGAAAGTCTTGTCAAAATCCGAGTGTGAGGCCCTTCATCTCAACACTTACGAACTCTTTGATGCCAGAGGGTTCGGCAACTTTGTATTTATGGATGTCTCTTTCTACCCTCACTTAGTTCGTCTCTTTTATACTCATCTTGAAAGAATTCCACACTCTTTGAAAATGGAATCTTTCGTTGGGGGTACTTCCTTCACCTTAGACATTCCTACCATTCGCTCCATTCTTGACTTGTCTAAGGGTTCCATCAAATATTTTACCACATTCACATGGTACCAAGGGGAGGGATTCAATAAGCTTGAGACCATACGGCAAATGAGCTACAATAAGCTGATCACAAATACTCAAAAAGTTCACGTTAAACAACTTACTTTGGAAGCTTGGGTCATTTACAACATCATCATGTATAACATCCTTCCAAAATCCGGAGGTCACTCGGATGTCTCATACATGGAGGCCTTCCTCATTTGGTGTATCCTTAATGGTAAGGATTTTGATCTCGCTTTTCTCATGTTTCATTATATTTGTGACTGCCAACAAAGTGAAGACAAACACTTGTTTTATGCTATGCCCTTGAGTTGTGTCTTTCATGCTATGGGGGTATCGGTTGGAAGGGAAGTAAAAAAGGATCAAGGGCCTAAAAACAAACTTAAATCCACCACTCTTGGGTTAATGGGGTTTAAAAAGGACCGTGATGGGCAGTGGTACAATCCTATTGAGATGGCATGGAATGAAGCTTTAGAGAGAGAAGAACTTGGGGACGATGGGGAATTTCTTATCCCTCCTAACATTCTAGCCCCTGCCATCCATAAGGATGATGATCAAGATGACCCTCCTCCAGTTGATCCTCCTATTCCTATGCCACCTCCACAGACCGATCCGGTTATTCTCGAGCTCCTCACGCAGCAAAATGCTCTTCTACATGAGCAAATTAGCATCTCTCGCCGAACTGAAGCTAAAGTCAATGATATGGTTGGACGACTAGACACTATTGAGGGTGATGTCGACTCCATCAAGAAGAATCTCGAGGAACTGCATATGGCTGCCGATCTTCCTCCTTATTGAGGATTTCTATGACTTACCTTCCTTTATTTTTCAGTTTTTATTTTGCCTCTATGCTATGTTTTCTTTTTGAGGATGACCAAAAGGGGGAGAAAATGTAGTTGATGTTTGTTGACAAATTGGTTTATTTTGGTGGTGTTTGGCTGAAGTTATGTTGATGTGTTGTTGATAGTTTCTTGGTGTTGACACAGGTTTATTTTGGATAGACTGTTTATGTTGATTTTGGATAAACTGTCTATTTTGACTTTGGACAAACTGTTTATTTTGCTGACATAGTTCATGACTATTGTACTCATTTTCTAAATGTCAATGTTAGTCTCTATATAATTCTCTGGATATGCCTTCTTGTCAAATTTAATATACAATGTATAAAAATAAGGGGAGACTTATATGAAAAATGCCTATTCCCAGTTGCAATCTTAAATTGTCTTTAATTACCTGCTATGAAGTGCAAATGAGCACAATGATAGGGGGAGCATATTTAAATGTAACTCCACTTATTTTTAAAACACATCAATGTTTTTTCATCATAAAAAAAGGGGAGATTGTTGACCCTAAGACCAATTTTGACGATCACAAAACATTAATTGTGTTTTAAGAACTAACATTTGCCTTGAGAATAAATTAGTCATTAGAAGTCTAAAAGTGAAGTGAAAAACTAAAGCCAAGCAAGATACATTCTATGCTCTCCAAAGACAAAAGAAAACAAGTCATTCACTTCCAAACTCCAAAGATGAAACACGGAAAAGAAATCAAATCTGGCAGTTCAAATGGGGTAGATAGGTTTAGTGGGCGCCATAGAATCAAATGTTAAAGTATTTTATGAATGCGATGAAGCTCATATCCTAAAATTATTCATTTATCATATCATGATTTGAATGGCATTATATATTGTCCAAAATTTATTTGAAAGCCTAGATACAGAGAAGCAAAATAGAGGATCACACTTAAGATCCATAACAGTGAGTTGGTTTTGGCCAAGAGACATTTCGGCCGACTAA